GGAAATGTAGTCCCAGAGTTAGGAGAGGAGCTCCTGTAATAATGTCTGTGGTTTACAGGAGGAGGAGCATTGTGGGAAATGTAGTCCCAGAGTTAGGAGAGGAGCTCCTGTAATAATGTCTGTGGTTTACAGGAGGAGGAGCATTGTGGGAAATGTAGTCCCAGAGTTGGGAGAGGAGCTCCTGTAATAATGTCTGTGGTTTACAGGAGGAGGAGCATTGTGGGAAATGTAGTCCCAGAGTTAGGAGAGGAGCTCCTGTAATAATGTCTGTGGTTTACAGGAGGAGGAGCATTGTGGGAAATGTAGTCCCAGAGTTAGGAGAGGAGCTCCTGTAATAATGTCTGTGGTTTACAGGAGGAGGAGCGAGCCAAGAGGGAGGAAGAGGAGCTGCTGAAGAGGATGGAGGAGCTGGAGAAGCAGCGACAGGAGCAGGTAAGCTCCTCCCCCTTCAGAGTCTGTTTGATCCCGTCTCCGCTGTGACCTTTGACCCCCTCCTCCTCCTCGCTCTGCCCCCCGTTAGGAGCGTCTGGAGCAGGAGCGCAAGGAGAAGAAGAAGCAGAAGGAGAAGGAGAGGAAGGAGCGTCTGAAGAAGGAGGGGAAGCTGCTGACGAAGACGCAGCGGGAGGCTCGAGCTCGCGCCGAGGCCACGCTCAAGCTGCTGCAGGCTCAGGGTGAGACTCCGCCCACCGATCGCAAGTCCCCGCCGCCGTTGACCGATCAATTACTAATCAATAATCCGGATGTAATCGATTACTGTGCAGGTGTTGAAGTGCCATCCAAAGACTCGATGCCAAAGAAGAAGCCGGTTTACGGAGACAAGAGGAAGAAGAAGCCCAACGCTCAAACGCCTGAAGGTACTCGCCGCTCGCCAACGCTGCACTGTTAGATACGTTATCAAGCTAATGATGATAATTAATAATAATATAATATATAATAATAATAATAATAATAATAATATAATAATAATAACAATAATAATAATATATAATAATAATAACAATAATAATATATAATAATAATAACAATAATAATATAATAATAATAATAATTAATAATAATAATAATCATAATTAATAATAATAATTAATGAGAATAATGATAATAATAATTAATGATAATAATAATGACAATAATAATAATTAATAATAATATTGATAATAATAATTAATGATAATAATAATTAATGATAATAATAATGACAATAATAATAATTAATAATAATATTGATAATAATAATTAATGATAATAATAATTAATGATAATAATAATAACAATAATAATAATAATGAATGATAATAACAATAATAATAATAATAATTAATGACAATAATAATAATAATAATTAATGACAATAATAATAATAATAATAATAATTAATAACAATAATAATAATTAATAACAATACAATTAATAATAATAATAATAATAATAATTAATAACAATAATAATAATTAATAATAATACAATTAATAATAATAATAATAATAATAATTAATAATAAATAATCTCTCCTAGAAACATCAGAGGTGACTTCACCGGCGTCGCAGACCCCGGAGCCCGTTGCCATGGAGACGGAGGCTGAGAAGCCGACCGCAGAGCCAGGTAAGTGGGAGGAGTCGGGTGGGAGGAGTCAGGAGGGAGGTGAAGTGTGGAGGTGATGAGGATTTATTACCGTCGTGGTTCTCCTCCTTCTGTGTGCAGAGGTGAAGCCAGAAGCTGCCGTAGACGACTGGGAGGCCATCGCCACCGACGAGGAGAAAGGTGAGACGGCGAGAGAATTAAATATCAATCAATCAATCGATCGATCAATCGCAGCTTCCTGTGCGACGGTTGTTATTATTATTATTATTATTATTATTATTATTATTATTATTATTATTAAAAGGATTTCTCCGTCTTTGCCTCAGAGTTGAAGAAAGTCCACATCGAGGTGAAGGAGGAGACCGCCGCTCCTCCTCAGCCTGCGGGCAGCGAGGAAGACGAGGAGGAGGATGACGAGGAAGAGGACGAGGAGGATGAGGAGGAAGACGAGGAGGAGGAGGAGAGCGAGGAGGAGGCAGAGAAAGAGGCGACGGTGTCGGCGGCGGGTCCGGCGAAGAGGAGGGCAGGGAAGGAGAGCGAGGACGAGAGCAGCGACAGCGAGGACGACGACAGGACAAAGGAGGAGCGTCTGTACGACCGAGCCAAGAGGAGGATCGAGGTGAGGAGGAGGAGGAGGAGGAGGAAGAGGAGGAGGAGGAGGACGACGAGTGAGAGCTCGTCTCTGACTGACAGCCTCTGTGTGTTTCCATAGAAACGGAGAGCGGAGAACATCAAGAACATCAACGTGGACAAACTGCGAGCGCCGGTGGTCTGTGTGCTCGGACACGTCGACACGGGGAAGACCAAGATCCTCGACAAGGTAGACATCTTTGTTTATTGATTGTTTATTGACTGGTTATTGATTACTGGTTGTTTACTGTTTGTGTATGAGCTGGATATTGATTACTGGTTGTTTACTGTTTGTGTATTGACTGGTTATTGATTACTGGTTGTTTACTGTTTGTGTATTGACTGGTTATTGATTACTGGTTGTTTACGGTTTGTGTATGAGCTGGTTATTGATTACTAGTTGTTTACTGTTTGTGTATTGACTGGTTATTGATTACTGGTTGTTTACTGTTTGTGTATTGACTGCTTATTGATTACTGGTTGTTTACTGATTGTTTATTGACTGCTTATTGATTACTGGATGTTTACTATTTGTGTATGAGCTGGTTATTGATTACTGGATGTTTACTGTTTACTCTGTAGCTGCGACACACTCATGTTCAGGACGGCGAGGCCGGAGGAATCACTCAGCAGATCGGAGCCACAAACGTCCCCAAAGAGACGATCGAGGACCAGACGAAGATGGTTAAAAACGTACGAACACACACCGACTGATGTTTAATCAATATTAATGATTGATAATCAAATATTATTAATGATTGATTATTAAATGTTTGTGCAGTTTGACAAAGAAAACCTGAGGATCCCCGGCATGCTGATCATCGACACACCAGGACACGAGTCCTTCAGGTACCAATGCGACAAAAATACTGCAGTCTGTGAGTGAACTGATTGATTGGTTCATTGATTGGTTCATTGATTGGTTCATTGATTGATTGGTTTCAGCAACCTGAGGAACAGGGGCAGCTCCCTGTGTGACATCGCCATCCTGGTGGTGGACATCATGCACGGTCTGGAGCCTCAAACGCTCGAGTCCATCAACCTGCTGAAGGAGAAGAAGTGTCCCTTCATCGTCGCCCTCAACAAGGTGAGTCCCTCTCCCTCCTCTTCCTCCTCCTCCTCCTCTTCCTCCTCCTCCTCCTCCTCCTCCTCCTCTGACAGTGTTGTTTGTTGTCAGATTGATCGTCTGTATGATTGGAAGAAGAGTCCAGAGACTGACGTTTCGTCCACATTGAAGAAGCAGAAGAAGAACACTAAGGATGAGTTTGACGAGCGGGTTAAATCCGTCATCGTGGAGTTCGCCCAGCAGGTGACGTCATTACATCATCACTCACCGACCAATCAGAACATTTCTAACTATTTACCCAGCTGCTTCATGTCAACATGGCCACTGTGAAAAAGGTCTGTTATGGTAAAAAAAACACGTTAGAAATCAATATAATCCGAAACGTTCTTCAGACAATTATTAGTGTTTATTTACTAATTAATTAGTTTTTTTCACTATATTAACTTTTTGTGACTTAAACATCACAAATTCAGACCCTTTTTCTCTCTTTGTTACAGGATGAATAAAGATTATAAACTATATTTACTGTATCAACCACAGTCAGTAATAATAAGTTATTAATAATTAGTTTGTAAACACATTTTATGAACCTAAAGCTATTAATAGATAAGATACGATGGACTTTATTGATCCCACACTGGGGAAATATATTTAAACATTAGTGGGCCCAGTACAGAGCCTTGAGGAACGCCACAAGTGACCTTCAATACGTCCTGTTGTTGTACCTCAGGGTCTTAACGCCGCCTTGTTCTACGAGAATAAAGACCCCCGTACGTTCGTGTCGTTGGTTCCGACCTCCGCTCACAGCGGCGACGGGATGGGAAACCTCATCGCCCTCTTGGTCGAGCTCACCCAGACCTTGTTAGCTCGTCGGCTAGCGCACTGCGACGAGCTCCGAGCTCAGGTCATGGAGGTAAGAGCGTTTTTATTTTGTCGGCGTTCTCTGCAGTCGGGATGAGTTTACTGACGAGTTGTGTGCGCTCAGGTGAAAGCGCTGCCCGGGATGGGAACCACGATAGACGTCATCCTGATCAACGGCCGACTGCGGGAGGGAGAGACCATCATCGTCCCGGGGGTGGAGGGACCAATCGTAACGCAGATCAGAGGGTTGCTGCTGCCCCCCCCTCTGAAGGAGCTCAGAGTCAAGGTAAATCTTTCAAAATAAAAGCATCAAATTCCCCACACATGATCCAAAAGTATGTGGATATTATTATAATAATAATAATGATTGATTGATGTTTGCAGAGCCAGTACGAGAAGCACAAGGAGGTGTCGACGTCTCAGGGAGTGAAGATTCTGGGTAAAGACCTGGAGAAGACGCTGGCGGGGCTCCCCCTGCTGGTGGCTCACAAGGAGGACGAGATCCCCGTCCTGAGGGTAACACACACACACACACACACACACACACACAGACACACACACACACACACACACACACACACACATACAGACACACAGACTCCCAGTTGACTGACTGGTTCTGGTTTTCAGGATGAACTGGTGCGGGAGCTCAAACAGACTCTGAGCTCCATCAAACTGGAGGAGAAAGGAGTTTACGTCCAGGCGTCCACGCTGGGTTCTCTGGAGGCTCTGCTGGAGTTCCTCCGAACCTCTAAAGTCCCTGTGAGTACCTGTCTGTCTGTCTGTCTGTCTGTCTGATGTTAAAGCTACTGTATATTTGTTAAACTTGTGAATAATGTTTGTTTCAGACCTTTTACTCTGAAAAGCAACAGGAAGCAGGAACTGAAGCTGACCTTTGACCTCTCTGACTGTGTGTGTGTGTGTGTGTGTGTGTTCCTGCAGTACGCCGGCATTAACATCGGCCCCGTCCATAAGAGGGACGTGATGAAGGCGTCGGCGATGCTGGAGCACGACCCGCAGTGCGTAATGAATGACATCATAAATCAATACAGAAATATTGATACCAACACCATTATTGATCAGCTTATCGGTCTGATTCTTTATTGATCACAACGCAGTGTTGTTCTTTGCGGGCAGGTACGCGGTGATCCTGGCGTTTGACGTGAAGGTGGAGAGGGAGAGTCAGGAGATGGCCGACAGTCTGGGAGTTCGGATCTTCTGGGCCGAGATCATCTACCACCTGTTCGACGCGTTCACCAAATACCGAGAGGACTACAAGAAGGCCAAACAGGACGAGTTCAAGTAGGAGAACGCCGTGGAACCTCCTCTGCTCTGACCTTTGACCTGCTGCTCTCTCTGACGCTCTGTATCGTCCGCAGGCACATCGCCGTGTTTCCTGTGAAGCTGCGAGTTCTTCCTCAGTTCATCTTCAACTCCAGAGACCCCATCGTGATCGGGGTAACCATCGACTCCGGCGTGCTGCGACAGGGGACGCCGCTCTGCGTGCCCAGTAAAGGGGTGAGCCTCGCTCAGAAGGCGCCGCGCCGGATGTTTGTACATTTTAAATAAACTTCATTAACTTTAAATGTTGGGTGACGTTTCAGTTCGTGGACATCGGCGTGGTCACCAGCATCGAGATGAATCACAAGTCCGTGGACAGCGCCAAGAAGGGCCAGGAGATCTGCATCAAGATCGAGCCCATTCCCGGGGAGTCGCCCAAGATGTACGGACGCCATTTTGAAGCCACCGATGTCATCGTCAGCAAGGTGAGGCCCCCCCCCGAGGAGGGACATGGAACATTTAATAAGAAGTGTTGGTGCTGCAGGCAGCCTCTGGGGGGCAGTGTACACTCAGATTACAGAGTAACTAATTACTTCTACTGAGGAACTTATTGATTAATAATAATAACAATACTTTTTATTTAGTGTTCAGATCCCCTTACATCATTAACACAACAACTAGAGAATCCAGAAAGCCTCCTGACCCGCCGTGAAGCTACCGATCGTTCATATGGATCATTGATTATTGATTTGATACGTTGGTGCTGTTTCAGATCACGCGGGCGTCCATCGACGCTCTGAAGAACTGGTTCAGAGACGAGATGCAGAAGACTGACTGGCAGCTGATCATGGAGCTGAAGAAGACCTTCGAGATCATCTGAGGGACCTGAAACACACACACCACACACACACACACACACACACACACACACACACACTTCCTCCCACAGACGACGGACAAAAAAGACAAAAAAAAGACGTGACAGTGTTTTTCTGTGAGAAACGAACAGTTTTTTCCACTGTTGTAAACAGTGATAGATTAGAACAGACACACACTCACACTCACACACACACACACACACACTCACACACACACACACACACTCACACACTCACACACACACACACACACTCAGTATTCCAACGTGCCTGTATCTTCAGCATCGACGTTGTGTTATTATTATTTTTCTTCTTCTCTGCTCTGATTTGTGGCTGCTGCTCCGTGTCCCTGGCTCCTCCTCCTCCTCCTCCTCCTCCTCTTCCTCCTCCATCATCGGACTGAGGAGCCTAGCGAGTCAGCAGAGCCAGTAAACCAGGTGCATTGTGGGATTGTGTTGAGCTGAAGGGCTGGAGGAGGAAGGTTTTTTTTTCCCATTATTATTATTATTTTTTCTTCTCATAAAACCATCGAAGCAGCAACGGCGTCGACCGTAGAGACTCATTAAAGAGGAGCTGACTCGGGTTTGTCGGCCATGTTGGCGGGCGGAGGGGCGGTCTGAGCGACAGGAAGTCCCCTCTGAACATTTTAAACTGTTTCTGCTGCAACTGCTGATGTAATAAATTCCCATGATTGATGATGAAACCTGCAGATTGAGAGTTTTCAGTTCACGTCTGCAGAAGGAGGACATTTTAATTGGTGTTGTATGGAGGTCTGAGGGTGCCAATATTACTAAACTTATTATTGTGTGTAACGTTTAAAAATATAATAATATATTAGCATCGTTGGATCAGCAACATATTTCTCTTTTAATGGTTAAAACATTAAAGTATTGAAACTAAAGTTTTACATCTGAATGATGTCCAAAATTAAGCTTTTTTTTTTTAACGGTAATTTTATATAATAGTCAACTTTATGCAGGCTGACAACAACTCCACCCGCTAAATCTTTGTTAAGCTGCTGGAAGCTTCATTTTTAAACAGCTTTCAGTCTCTCTGACATTAAAAAATATGAGAATTTGTTGTGTTGTGAATGATCTGATGCTCTAAACGAAGGTCAGAAAGGCTGAAAGCTAAATAAAGTGACGTATTACCTGAGAGCGTTAATTTAAATACAGTTTAAATAAGTTATAGTTTAGAAAGTTTTTTTTTCAGATTTATGCTTAGAGTTTAAAATATTCCCAAAACAAAATTAAACTTCAGTTTGATTGATTTTAATATTGGCAGCTACAGACTTCCATAGTGTGAACATTATCGTCTCAAACATTAAAACACTGGTGCCAAACGGGGTCAAAACTTTACGACTTTTTACTTTGTGACAGAAAGGAAACCGACGGTCCGTCTGCACCGATCATTTATTAACCAGTAAACACTTCTGAATGTAATCGAGCGTTGAGGATCATAAATACAGTCAAAATACAGAAAATGGTTTCCTCTGTCGCTTTAATATCTGGTTTAAAAATGGCAAAATTAGTTTTTTTCAGCATTAAATACGTTTATTTGTTATTTAATTTGCTTTGTTGATCTAAAACAGACTTTTTTTATTTACCACAAACAGCTTTTTTTACTTTCGAGCTTCATGAAAACACTGAAACTGTAAGAAAGTAAAAGCTTTGAAGAACTGACCTTAAAAGAACCAAAATGTTTTACTTTATAGATATTTAGATATCAGATATTTAATATTTAATCCGTCAACGTTTATTCAGTGTTGATGCGGTCGTCATGGTGATGCAGTTGAGAGCGACGGTGCGTTTGAGGACCCTCTGACACCTCGACTGCTGCTGTTGTGAAAAATAAGCATCTGTGAATAAAAACCTCCGACAAAAAAACAAGCCTGATGCGTCTTTAGAGCTGAAAAAATCCCTCTGCTCCGGCTGGGGACGACCAGCCACAGAAACCAGTTTAGACCCGTTTGATTGGTTTGAGACCAGTTCAGACAGAACTTCAGACTCATCCCTGATGGTGAATATTTACACATTTAAAAGCATTAAAGTGGATTCTGTAAAAACGGACGGATGTGACTCTGAATTCTTCCACTCGACTGAAAACAGCAGCAGGTTTCTATCAACTCCACCAAATCGGATTAAAGCAGCAGCAGAGTTTCAGTCTGTAAACGGTGTGAAAGTCTTTAAAAAAACCTGTTCAAGTCAAAAGAAACCAAACTGTAATAATTGAAGCTTTAATGTAGAACGTGTATAAACGACCACATCAGGATGTTTGAATTCATTCAGTTTTTACTCGACAAACTTCAGGATTAAAGTTAAACAGCGGAGGACGACTCACTGCATAGATCTGACCTCAGGATGGCGCTATAGAGAATCTAAACGGTTCCTCCTCTGGGGGACATTTAATACACTTTAATTTAATGTACATTTGTTTTTGTGCAATCATTGAATACCTAAATACCTAAGTAATTGAAAGTATTAAAGACATATTAATTCCATTAAAGGAGCAGAATATACACAAAGGAATAAATAGTCAACGCGTATGTGGGCCGTCAGACGGCGGCGGGGATGAAATGTCCGTGAAGGTCCATGTGGACGCTGGCGGGGATGGAGGCTCGGGCGATCTCCTTGAAGGTTTTGGCGTTGAGGACGAGCATGAAAGAAGACAGGTTGGGATCTGGAGAGATGATGGACGATAAGATCACCCCTGCAGGATGGAGAATGCAAACAGTCAGAACCACAGCAGGAAGGTTTAACCGGGGAAAGGTCAGCGGTTGGCTCACCATCGTCTTCCTCCACGGCGCCCGGAGACGCTACAAACACCGGCTCTGACGGGTAGCAGTTCTCCTGCTGCCACTCTAGGTGTGTCCGGGTGACGATGTCGATCTTGGCGATCTGTTGGACGAGAGCGTTAAAGTTTGGTTGATTATTGGACTGTTTGGTTCAAACATTCATCCAGATGTGACAACCTCCTTTCAATCTCAGCCAACAGTCGACTAAAATATGGTAAGAAATCAGTGGTGTCAGGAACATCTAAATCAACCAGATTAATTCTGGTTCTTGAACTGGACTCTCTGCACCTCGGTGGATCTAGTGAAGCCCACCTGCACTGGTTGGTTTTGGGGGGACTTAACTGTAAACCTTCTGGTCTCAGGGCTGACGGTGTTGCAGGAAGCCTGAAGGTTTTTACCTTATTGGGGTGAGGAGACCACTCCATCCGGGAGCCGTAGATATATCTGTAGTTCTTGGCGTTGAAGTTGTAGTTGATCCCCGGCAGCTCCAGACCTGAGGAGCAGTCAGACTCGTTTTGGAGGATTGAACGCTATTTAAACCCAACAGACTGACAGTGGAACAATAACTGACCTTCGAACAGAGTGTCTGGCCGGCAGTAGACGGAGCCGTCCTCCTGCATCACCGCCTGCGCCGTTGTGTCTGTCAGAGTCACCAGGTTAGATCCTCGGGGAGATTCCTGGAAACCAGGTCACCACAACGTCTTCATACGGACGTTCAACTCATAAAACGATAGGAAATTCAAGTAAGGAAAGTGTTTTGTACCTTGTGGATGTTGAGCGGCAGGACGAACCTCTGGCAGACCGGCGGGCTGATGCTATTGTTGGACTGGATGAAGCTGCTGGTGTCCTGCTTTAGGTTCTGGAGGTAGAACATTTCGTATAGGTTGCTGTCCTTGTAGCTGATGAGGTCAAACACCACGTGGTCGTCAGCCTCGTACGCGTTGATGTGGTGAAACACCACCATGGCGTCGCTGTAGAAACGGGTGGACGCTGCCTTTCCTGTCTTTCGGTTGATGATGTGGAACAAAGTCTGAGAAGGAAACAAACGATTCATGGTGAAGGAATACATTTATACAAAAACAATTTAAAGATAATTATATAAATAAAAGTACAATAATAAGAGAGAATGGAATAAAAATAAGGTAGATTAAAAAATAAATGACAATAAAATACTGTAAAAATAGATTTAACAGGTTTAACAAAAGTGTTTCATAGAAGCTGAACTAGAAAGTAGATAAAATAGATTAAGAAGGCAGGAATATTTACCTGCATCTAAAAACAACTTTTTTGGTATTTTTTACATTCTCCTGCGATTTCATTACAAAAATAATCCTAAAAACATTGCGATGTTTTAGAAAAGCTGCTATAAAATTAGACATTTTAGGCTTCAGAAACAGTCTAGAAACCAGGACCCCCCCTCGCGGACTTACGATGTCGTCCTTATCGAATTTGAGGCAGCTTCCCCAGTTGACACCTCTGAAGTAGGCGGTGGCCAGTTTGATGATATCCAGTTTAAAAGGTTGTTCCACGAACACGATGTAGTTCTCCGTCATGCCGAAGCTGTGGAAGTAACTCGGGAACAAAGTGGATCGAAACGGAACCGAACAGACCTGTTGAACTTTACTCAAGGCCGGCTTCTTGTGTTTGTTATCTGGAAGAAACAACTCAGTTTTATTCTTATTATCTGTTCATAATGAGGAGACTTTGACATTTACAGGTTTAATGTAAAATAACATGAAGACTTATTTAACGAAAAATAAGATTAAAAGATTAAAATATATTTGCAGATGTTTATTTAATAGATAGAAACTTAAATTCAAGTTTAATACGTTAATAAGTTTATTAAATGATATAAAATCAGTGACATTAACAGTAAATCAAGTATTAGTTGTGTAATTTTAATGGATTAGTTAGTTAACAGACAGATATGTTGTATAATGATGGAAGTAGAATAAATGTTGTTTATCAGTGTATAAGCATTGGTAAACTGTCCAAATATAGTTGTTATCAGTGTAAACAGCAATAATTACTGTAATCTCACAGATAATGACTTTTATTTCTGTTCCATAACTTTTAACATTCACATTAAAATAATAATAATCCAATAATAACAGCACTCACACAAGATTTCATGTCAAATTAAAACTAAAAACTATATTTTAATTATATAAAATTACTGTTGTTATTTTCTGTTATTTTACTATTTTTTTGGTTCTCCAGCTGCCAGAATATTACAGGTTGTTGTTTTTTTTACTGTGTAGTAACTAATTAGTAATTAGATTAGATAAAGACGTGACTTCTTGATCTCGGGCAGCTTTATTGCTCCAAATACTGTAAGATAAGAGTTCCCTCACTGTACCTGAAGCATCCGCTGGGACTTTGAAGATGACGTATTTTGGCCGACCGAAGCCCATGATGGCAGTGCCCATGTTGTAGGTGTTGCCCTCGTGGTCGTAGTGAGGATGAGCCGTTGCCAAGTTCAGAGCGATGTGGTTCCTGTAGTTAATCTGGAATCAGCAGAATGTGTGAAGCAGAACAGGTCTATGAAGGTTTGGAGCTTTTAGGGGGCACAGGGAGACCTACCCTGCCGACGGTTTCTAGGGTAGCAGGGTCGATCTGGTTCATGTAGTTGACCTCAGAGGAGGCGTAGTAGTCCTGACCGTAGCGAATGATGTTGATCAAGTTGTTGTCGGTGAAGTCGGGGATGACGTTGCAGAGGTGTGTGAATGCCCTGGTGAGAGAGCGACAGAAGGGTTTAATGTCTCACTCTACCCAGACACTTGCACACTTTAAGACGGGTACTGATGGATGGACGTAAAATGATCTCTAGATCTCTACGTCTCCTGGATGGAATAAATCAGATCTCTAGATCTCTATGTCTCCTGGATGGACTGAATCAGATCTCTATATCTCTACGTCTCCTGGATGGACCGAATCAGATCTCTACGTCTCCTGGATGGAATAAATCAGATCTCTAGATCTCTACGTCTCCTGGATGGAATAAATCAGATCTCTAGATCTCTACGTTTCCTGGATGGACTGAATCAGATCTCTAGATCTCTACGTCTTCTGGATGGACTGTACCTGGAAAAGATGTTCTTGCAGGGATCTGGGTAGATCATGGTTCCAAACTCGGAGACGACAATCCTGTCAGCTTGGACGTTCCTTTTGTAGGTTTCACTCTTCAGGAACTTACTCCTGTACGTCACCTCACCTGAAACAGCACAAGGAACCAGATCTTCCAACTTTGAGACTTTAAATGCTACGCAGACGTCGTCGATCAAGCTGTGATGGATTTGATTTGTAGTCGCTGTGGAGATTCTCACCGTTGCTGAAGGTGAAACTGTGGATGAGCGACAGGCCGTCAAACCAGTGGTTGTACTCGGTGCTGCCCACAGAGAAAAGACCGGGTCCGTTCCTCAGCAGAGAGCCCTGAAGCCAGGACGGGATGGACCCTGCAGGTCAAAGGTCACACACAGGTATCTATACCTAAAGCTGATGTGGTGTTTCATGTCTGTCTGGAAAACACATCGTCTTTGTGATACTAATAGTTTAAAGCGTTAAATAAGAAGATAAAGTCAAATAAATTAAGTTTATATCAAAGATAAATTTATATTTTATACATTTCAACATCAAAACCATCAATAAAAACGATTATTTCCATTATTGATTATCTGATCATTTACTGAACTGTTACAAACGAGTCAACAGACCTCAAGTTAGTTCATGTTTATAAGTTCTGAAAATAAGAACAAGATGTTTTACGTTGATTTAACTTAATATTAAATAATAAATAAAATTTGTATATTTACACTAACGTAATTGTTTATCTGAACATTGAAAATACAAAAATACAAGCAACTGGAGATATAAAAGAAACTAAACAAATGTACAAATGAGTGAAAATAAGAATAAAGTTATAACAATTAACATAAAACTACAAATGAATGAGAAAAGAGTTAATTCCACTAAATTCCTGTATAACTTTTTACAGTGTAGAAAGTCCTGAATTCAGTTAAAGTACAAAAGTTTTGTAAAAGAGTAATTTAATATTTATTGTGTATTTTTACATTTTATTTACAGCTTTATTAGAGACACACTTTAGACTTTTACTTGTACAGTTTGTAGTTTTCCTCTTATAACAATAATATTTATTTATGGTCATTAATAAATTTACAGTTTTCACATTTTTGAATCATCCTTCAACATAACTTTATTTGTTTTTTATCTTGAATTCAGTGAATCCAACAAAATGAGCCAAATGAATGAACAGTTAATTACAACCAGCAGACTGTCTGAGACTCACCTGTCACCTGAGCTTTCACCGGCTCCGGCGTTTCCGATCCATTTTTTGCCAATATGGGCTGCATGTTTCTCGTGTATTTCCCAGAGTGCACTGCTGCGGCTCTGCTGTAGCAGCTGAGCTTATGTAGCCCTCGCCGTCCTCTACGTGATGATCTTCAGGTGTCAGAAAACCAAACGTGCAACATAAACTTTGTGGATTATGAAACTGCTCAGCTGTGGACTTTATTCTGCTTTTCATAATAAGAGACCGTGCTACGTCTGACCTACTTAATATATACTACAAAGTGGGTTAAAGTTAATGAGATAATACTCATTATCCAGTCAAATGTGACAAAATTCACACAATTAGTCCAAATAGAATTTAAAATGATCACTGTAGTTTTTTATTTTCCGGCCGCTGTGTTTCACTTTAAATCTAAATTGATTTATTGGTGCTTTTAAGTTGAAGGTGCTGACATAAGGAGTGCTGCTGGATGAATCCTTGAACCCAAATGTGATCATAAATCTGTAAACAGACGATAACGGCAGCTGGTTGTGACATCTAGAACCGCCCTGCTGTTAAACTGCAGCATTAAACTACAATCGGTTTGTTTGGTTAAATTAATGTTTGGTGATAAAGTGAATTTATATAACCTTTAATCAATAAGTCGAATGTGAAGATTCACTATTTTCTATTCTCTTTCTGTTTCAGAAATGAAAACATTTTGTTTGCTGCTTTTAAATTTCACTCTTTATAAAAAGTGGCATTTCTGTTTTATCAAATAAAAAAAACATATCTGTCTTTTTTAAGTTCTTTAGGTGTTTTATGGTTAAAAGTTTGGATAAATGCATCTTTAAGAAAAGATTTATATCATAATAACAATTTATATAAAAAGATTTAAAGCCAAATGCTTCAAATACTGTCAATAATCAGTGTGTTTATATCTGGACATTATTTCTGAATAAAATATGTGTGAGAGTTTAACCTTTAGCCTCGTCGTATCTCTGGCTGTGTAATTGGTTAAATTAGTTTACAGCTTTACAGCCACTCTTATCAGGATCCGACTGCAGGTCACAGATCTGTAACGAGCCACGCCGGCACTGTGGTGGCAGTTTGTTTAAAAAAGTACGCAAAGTATGATCCTGTCTTTCTGTAAGGTTTTATTCAAGTCTTCCATGAATGGTCTCAACGCAACCGTCACACACTCTCGTATGTGAAAGTCCAAAAGAGCCCCGATTGGAAGAAGCAGTATGGTTTTATCCCTGTTGGAGCGTGACTCTAACACAGTTACACATTCCTGAGTTGTGGGACAGTAAACAGACAGATAGTGTGGTGAGATGATCATGTCCTTCTTAGTGAAGTCTCAACATCCCGCTGTTTACTTGGACATAGAGTGTAGGTAGAAACAGGGCTAAAGGTTATATGCATATAATATCCTCTTTAACAGTTGCGTATGGTTTTACAATGACCAGGTCAAAGGTTGTATAGGTTCTTAAAAATTGCCATTACAGCACTAAACCCGAACACATAAATAATGTGGGGTCATTTATTCTGAAGGGATTGATTGATTGATCGAACATGACGTCGACACCAGAGAGCGGAGTTCACGTTTCAAGCCTGAAGTCAGCGTTCTTCAGTGATTATATAACAACACAGAAAGCTCTCATTGCTCCGAACTTATGAAGGACTTTACACACAAGCTCGTATTATATAACTGATCATAACTGATCGGCTGTGATCGATTAAACCAGAAGTGTTGATATTTCAGCTCCCAGAGGGCTAATTGTGATTAATTTAAGGTTATTTATATGATTGAATACGTTTGACCTGCATTTTAAAATCAAGAAAGCTGAACGTCATCGGTGTAAAAGTTAAGACAGAATATTTCTTCAAATGTATTCACTGTATTTGTTATGTATTATTATGTTTTAAGCACAAAATAACCTCAAAATCGACTAAGTTCATCAATAAGAAACCCCACACACGGGTAGCTTTTGGATGAAAAATGAAGTTTATTACAAACAACGACAGAGAGCTGTTAGCAGTCAGTTAGCAGCTGTTAGTTCTGTACAAATAACACTGTTTGATTGGTTAGTTGAGTTTGCCGATCGGCAACAGGGCTAGGTCTCAAACAGCACCCTACGCCCTCTGTAGTGCACTACTTTCCACCTTAAACCCTCCGTAGTGCACTATTTCCCACCTTAAACCCTCCGTAGTGCACTACTTTCCACCTTAAACCCTCCGTAGTGCACTACTTTCCACCTTAAACCCTCCGTAGTGCACTATTTTCCACCTTAAACCCTCCGTAGTGCACTACTTTCCACCTTAAACCCTCCGTAGTGCACTACTTTCCACCTTAAACCCTGCTTAGTGCACTATGTTTGAGCTGAACTCTTAATAGTGTGCCACTTTTACCTTAAACTCTTCCTCAGTGCACTTTCATGCACCCTAACCCTTCATAGTGCACTACAGTCCACCTTAAACTCTTTATAAAGCACTCCTTTCCTCCTTAAAAGTGCCCTATCATCACCATCTTAAATCCTTCCGGTGCACTCCGAGTTCACAAGTTGCAGACGTGTTTTTTCTTTTTTAATGTTGGACCCCGTAAACGTTACTTTTCTTGGTTTATTAATTTTTTGCATTCCCGATCACAACATTGACATGTTGAAGACAAAAACATTTTCCATTCATTAAAAAGGAACAAGGTAGCGTCCATTTTTTAGTGTCATTCAGCTGATAAATGCCGTGTTCATGTTATGTGGGATGGGAAAGACGCTTTTGTTCACTGGCTGTTAAGACAAGTTTGTGATTGCAGAGTTGTTTGTACGAGGGTTAGAAATACTGTGCGCGGTCAATAAAGTTCTCTATCCGTTAACACTGGACTGCAGGCGTCCATGTTTGTTTGCTTTTTCAGGCACTTCTGTATCGTTTAGTGCCGGGTTGGATATCCGAGCGTTTAAATGGATGTTGGCGTGAACATTTACATGTCAGGAACTAATTACGGTAACTCCCACGACATTTAAATGCGACAGCGGTGTGTCCTCGCCGCGATGCACCTTGGGACGTCACGGCGAGCTGGCTGGCTAAAACTTTACCATCCTCAGTCCCGCCCCTTTTGGAACCTCGGTCGAGTTTATACTTTCCTGGTTAATCTACGTCCATCATCGGATAGATTGCCTAGCTAGTTGCAACTATATATATAAATGTCTCTTTTATCTTTTAACCATCTTCAAAATGTGGCTGTCTTTTCAACAAAGATTAGCCTAGCATGTAGCATATCTAAGTACAGGAAAGGAGGAAGATGACTGAGGCCTGCTCAACTGTGATTGGAGCACAGAGCGAAAAGGGGCGGGGCTTAGCATAATCCATTGTACAGTTTCTCATGTGTGTTTATGTCTTTACATGCCGAGTTATCTCAACAGGTCAGTGACTGTTCAGGTTTCCTGTTCTGTCCGTTTCTTTTATAGTTTCACACGTTTCAGTCCTATATTTAGAAAAAGGTCTTTGTCTGCCCAACAGCGTGGGGAAGCAGTGATTTTTAAGGTGGAACTGCTTTATTCTATTCTTTATTAGGACTCCTAACTGAAGCTCCCATGATCCCACGCTGCGGCACCGTTAATGCACGTTTAACGTCCACAAAGTTCACAATGTAAAGGCGGTAAATGATAACACACATGAGAAGCTCCATGTTGTTTTTACCACCACCGAGCATATTGTCAAATACACACCGAGTTCCACCTGAAGGCAGCAATTCCACCTTAAACCCTTCATAGTTTGCTATTTCTCTCCCTACGCCCTCCGTAGTGCACCGAAGTGGCTCCTTAAGGACCGGGGTGTTGTCTGAGAATGGCACCAGAGAGACAGAGAGAGAGAGACAGAGAGGTAGAGAGAGAGACAGGTAGAGAGAGACAGAGAGGTAGAGAGAGAGACAGAGAGAGAGACAGAGAGGTAGAGAGAGAGACAGATAGAGAGACAGGCTGCTGTCTGTCTGTCGCACAGACAGACGGGGCGGACAGAGAGACAGACAGTTTCCGTTGGAGTTGGTGGGAGTAGCAGTTGGAGGTCTGGTCTATATACAGAAACAAGAGATGCATAATCAGAATATCCAAACTAACCGGAGCCGCACGCCGCCATGTTGGCTCCGCCACCGGTTGCTATGGTAACGGCGGTGGAGAGGGGGGGGGCGGTGTCAGCTCTGGTTCTCTAAAAAAAAAGACCAAAATAAAAAACAACTGGGTGTCACCGCAAAAAACACGAGTCGTCATGGCAACGCTACACCGGGACACCACCTAACTGTCCGTGGAAAAAACACACACACACACACACACACACACAGAGGACAGTGTCACTAACACACACACTCACACACGCGCTGTCACACACACACACTAACACTCACACACGCGCTGTCACACACACACACACACACACACACACCCGCTGTCACACACACACACTCACACACACACACGGGACAGTGTCACTAACACACACACACACACACTCACACACTCACACACGCGCTGTCACACACACACACTAACACTCACACACGCGCTGTCACACACACACACACACACACGCTGTCACACACACACACACACACACACACACTCACACGCGCTGTCACACACACACACACACACACACACACGCTGTCACACACACACACACTCACACACGTTGTCACACACACACTCACACGCGCTGTCACACACACACACTCACACACAAACACACACACACACTCACACGCGCTGTCACACACACTCACTCACACACACACACACACACACACACACTCACACGCGCTGTCACACACACTCACACACACACACTCACACACACAAACACACACACACACACTCACACGCGCTGTCACACACACTCACCACACACACACACACACACACACACACACACACACACACACTCACACGCGCTGTCACACACACACACACACACACACACACACACACACACACACACACACACACTCACACGCGCTGTCACACACACACTCACTCACACACACACACACACACACACTCACACGCGCTGTCACACACACTCACTCACACACACACACACACACACACACACACACACACTCTCTCTCTCACACACAAACATTAATATGACAAACAGTTTTTTTCTCTATTTGAGGTGAAAAACAGACTCTATTACTCTTAATTATCATAATTAATCTTCATCATCTTCATCATCGTTGCAGTGGTCTGTGTGTGTGTGTGTGTGTGTGTGTGTGTGTGTGTGTGTGTGTCCTCAGTCTGTTTATACACACTATTAACAGGATGACACACAGACAGAGCTCAGTTCTGATTGGCTGACGGGTCGTTTCACCTCTTCTTCTTCCAGGAAGTTCTTTTTTTTTCTTTTCTTTTTTTTAAATTGTCTCTTGTTGCTAGGCAACCGCAGCTTCCTGGAATCCCAGTCTGTCGGCGATGGCGGTGGTGGTGATGATGGCGTGGTCTCCCTCCCGCTGACCCACAGGAAACAGTTTGTGATGTCATCAGAGTGGTTGCTCGGGGCAGTAAACTGGAGGCCGACCGTGGCGGCGGCGTCTGATTGGCCGAGGTGAGTGCGGCGTTTTGGCTGAATGTTGAAGCACCAGGAAGGAGGGAGGAGAGTAACAGTACCTGCTGCTGGAGTGTGTGTGGGTGTGTGTGTGATACTGGCGTCAGTCAGGGCCTGAACTGTGCTCTCATTAGTTATGAATGTGGAGCCTAAAGGACGGTTGGGGGCCCTCTCAAGGGTCGCAACATTAATCTGAGGGGCCACACAATAATTACTCAGTTAAGGATAGAGAAACATAAAGTTGGATATCTGTTTGATTTTAATCAGAAGAAACTCACTCATCCTAAAGTCGGTTTACGTACTAAAGTAAAATGAAATATATTTTAGTTCTGCAGTGTTCATTTGTCCAAAAAAACAATTGTAAGACGCCAACTTGGAGTTGCCATGGGCATTTTTCACTATTATCTGGCGCTTTGTAGCATAAACTATCACTAGAGAATGACAATAACAACAACAATAAACAACTTTTAAATTTCATAAGGAGGAAAAATGCAAGAAATTCACAGAAAAAACGCCAAAAATATAGTTTGTGAGTTCTTCTGTGGCAGCATAATGTAAGCTATTTTAATAAATCAGTTTACGCTTTGTTTAGAATATTTTGTCCACTTTACCTCGCTGTCAGACAGCTCTCTCCAAAGCTACCAGACTCCATTGACAAAAACAGTCACTTTACCTCACAGAACACAGGAGAGTCTGGTCTACTGCCGCCTCGATCCACAGTGACTACAGTGATCAGTCGGATCCAAATTAAAGTGTTAAAACACTAAAGTCACACAATCACACAGACTAACAGATGGAGGCAGCGGTAGAGCAGAAAAACTCCCTTGTTCTGTGAGGTAAAATCCGTGTTTTTATCAATGGAGTCTGGTGGATTGGAAGGGCTCCCTCTAGAGGACACTAGCAGGATGTCTTTACACCTGTGTGTGTTATCCCTGCCTGTAGGGGCCAGCAGAGCACATTTAGTTTAGTTGATCTACGTAAATAGAAAGATTTGATTATTGATTAAGCACAAACACTTTCTGGTTTTAACTTCTTAACTGTGACAAATGTATTTCTCCTAATTGCTGTTGGGAGTAATAAGTAAAGTAATATTACTTTTTAAAAGAGTAACAAGTAATAGATTACATTTTTTGAGTAACTGACCATCTTAAGGCTCCACAGAGTCATAAAGTAATTTCCCAGCATGCCTTTGGCCCTGTAAGTGAGCAGTATTGTCAGTGTGTGTGTGTGTAAACGAACCCTGCTGTCAGTGTGTGTGTGTGTGTGTGTGTGTGTGTGTGTGTGTCAGTGTGTGTTGAGCACGCTGCGCGGCACCCAGCCCTCGGCGGCCGGCGAGTCACTGTTGGCCGGCCGGTAGACCAGACTCTGACCATGCTGGTTGGACGCCAGGATCTGAACCTTCTCCCCCCGAAACACTGAGATCTCGTCCTCCCGCACCGCCACGAAGTCCTGCAGCACCAGCACCAGCTCCTGAGGGGGGTCAGAGGTCACAGCATGAAATCTCACGGCTCCAAGCTCAACTTTCTTTAAAGATCAAGCAGCTCAATGCCAACCTGGTCGTCCTGCTCGCTGTCTGGAGGAGGCTGAGGGGCGTGGCCGTTGGGCGTGGGCGGGGCCGACGGAGGTCGCCCTGACGATAGAGGGCGGGTCACAGAGATCCCGCCCTCCTTCCTCTGGTACTCAATGGGAGACTGAAGAGCTGTGGACAGCGAGGTTCAACAAGATTCACACCAGGAGGATTCAGGATGTTTCTCAGAGACTCCAGGATGAGATTTGAGAAACTCACCTGACAGGAAGTTGTTCTGGGCGTCCAGCAGGGTGGCGATGGTCTCCACCCAGGTCATCTTGATGCTGGTGGAGGACGCCTGCAGCGTGAAGCGCTCCGCCGAGCCGCGAGACCACAACACGAACTTACAGGGATCCCCGTCTACGCTGTCCTGCATCGCCAGGTAACTCACCTGCTCACACACACAAACATGGCCCGTTACTCCCAGTAGGAGGCCGTCTGACACAGTGCTGAACCAGCGTAAACCAGTCTGACCTTGATGCTGTTCTTGAACTGGTATCCCGGGTTGTTGGAGCCTTTACGCAGCAGTTCGCTGAAAATGACAATCTGCTCGAACAGGAACACTCTTCGCTCTTTACTGCGAGACAGAACTCCTCCATCCTGCTCCCAAACACAGAACGTCTCCTGCTGCAGCAGCTTCCCCTGAGACGTCAACTTCCCCTAGACCGCAGACAGGAAGACAGACAGACAGACAGGTGAGAGTCCGTTTCATCTTGTCTCTCTTTTTTGTTTATTTAAAGCCGCAAGATTTGGTTTTTTTGGCCACTTGGTGGCGGCAGAACAATAAGCTGAACTCCAAATCAAACATGTTAGCAATAGCTAACTACTGACAGCAATATCATCCTGTTGACATTGTTAATAATTACTTGTGGGGTTCCTCAGGGTTCTATTCTTGGCCCCTTCATATTTGAATTTTTACAAACTGTAAACACAACCTGCAGCAACTGGGTTAGGAGCTTTTTAACTTTCTGTACAAGGACAAATACATACGATAAAGCTATGAGGAGCTAAAAGAGGCTAATAAACTACATAGAGCTGCAGACTAAGAGTACAAGCAACACTTCATATTAAAATATTGAAGCTCAGACAGATATGTAGACAGACAGGTGGACAGACAGGTGTACCTCGTATCCCTGCAGGCGTCCCAGGTTCATCATGTCGTTGCAGCGTTTCGGTACCAGGGACATCAGCTCCACCGCTTTCTGTACACAAACAGAGTTCTTAAATAATACAGAGGTCTGATGCTTCACCATCCTGTGTAAATCATTTAACATCATCATCACCATGACAACAGCAGCTTCTTCTAGTCTGAGGGGCCAATCAGACGGTGGCATCGCTAAAGGTGCAGCTGCTTCAGAAACGCCTCAGCAAGCTGACGGTGTGACGAGCAATCAAATGTGAATAAAAAGGGATTCAAGCAGACGTGGAGAGCAGCACGGTGAATACCTCCACCGCTACCGCTGGTTGGGTCTGGATGACGAGCGCTTCCGGGATGACTTTTTGTTGGTAATTAAATACAGAATAATATAATATGTATTAATGTCAACCTCTCGTCTGCATTTGCCACCGTTCCTCACACTGAAAAGCCGGCCTCTAGCTGCCTGAAGGCGTAAATAGTGTTCTAATAAATACAGCAACTTCTGACGAACCCGTAACAAATTCAGGCTAAAATTAAGTTCAAAAGTTAAAAGTCTCGAGTACAGGTAACGTAGTTGGTTGAACAGATACAGATAATAGTGTACTCGCTCATCCATACTGCCTGAGCAAAGTGTGACGTCGACGAGCGACACCACCCAAAGTTTGGGAAAAGTAAGTTATAACACCAACTCACCTCGATCTCTTCGCAGTCCAGTCCTGCTTTGGACGTGTACTTGAGAAAATCCTGAGAAACAAACAAGAAAAAAGGAATAAAAATTGTGTTTATAAATCCTGAAGAGAGAGAAATAAATCTATAATGTTTGTGCTCACAGACCTTCAGCAGCAGCTGGTACTTGGTGATTCTCTGGATGGGTTTGATCAGATAATCACTGATCGACATCCTGCAGCTGATCTCATGCTGGATCTCCTGCAGACAGACAGGCAGACAGACAGGCAGGCAGACAGACAGACAGGTTCAATTTCTAGCTTATATAAGTCGTCTGTTTGTGTTGCAGAACAATTTTTTGATCTGAGAACTCTGGTTCTACTGCTTTTCCTCCGCACCAAACTCCATTCAGAAATCAGCCCGTTTAGTGAAGCCTGCAGCAGGGACGTTTCTGTTTATGACTTTTAGTGGTTACTTCTGGTTCTGGGATATTAAAATGGTTGTATTACTTTATTTTGTGACATTTTATGTGAAAAAAACAACAAATCGATTAAGAAAATAATCGTTAATAACAGCAATATTACCCATAAACAAACATCTAAAGAAGATAAATAAATAACAAACTTTTAGGCATTTCCTGTATGTTCATGGTAATAAAGGAACCATGTTTGTTGACGAGAAGAAAAATACAGAATATCATAACAAATATTAAAATCAAAACAAAAACAATCTGAATATCAGGAACATCAGACACAGAAGTGATGTAACAGGAAGTGACGACTTACCTCAAAGAAGTTCTCGTACTCGATGACGATGAACTCTGACCTCGGCTTGTTCTGGCAGTAAACCACGTACATGTGGAGACGACGCTCCTGCAGCACACATACACACACACACACACACAAATATCCCAATCAATCAATCGCTAATTGATCAAAGGAATGACTCACTGCATATGCTAATGTTAGCAAAATGCTAACTAACAGTGTAAATTAGAGAGGAGTATATAAATAATATACAGTATATATAATATAATATAAATAATATACAGTATATATAATATAATATAAATAATAAACAGTATATATAATATAAATAATAAACAGTATATATAATATAATATAAATAATAAACAGTAAATATCAATAATAAACAGTATATATAATATAAATAATGAACAGTATATATAATATAATATAAATAATATACAGTATATATAATATAAATAATAAACAGTATATATAATATAAATAATAAACAGTATGTATAATATAAATAATATACAGTATATATAATATAATATAAATAATAAACAGTAAATATCAATAATAAACAGTATATATAATATAAATAATAAACAGTATGTATAATATAAATAATATACAGTATATATAATATAATATAAATAATAAACAGTAAATATCAATAATAAACAGTATATATAATATAAATAATAAACAGTATATATAATATAAATAATAAACAGTATTTATAATATAAATAATAAACAGTATGTATAATATAATATAAATAATATACAGTATATATAATATAAATAATAAACAGTATATATAATATAAATAATAAACAGTATGTATAATATAAATAATATACAGTATATATAATATAATATAAATAATAAACAGTAAATATCAATAATAAACAGTATATATAATATAAATAATGAACAGTATATATAATGTGAATAATAATATACAGTATATATAATATAATATAAATAATAAACAGTATGTATGATATAATATAAATAATAAACAGTATATATAATATAATATAAATAATAAACAGTATATATAATATAATATAAATAATAAACAGTATGTATGATATAATATAAACAACAAACAGTATATATAATATAAACAACAAACAGTATATATAATATAAATAATAAACAGTATGTATAATATAATATAAATAATAAACAGTATATATAATATAATATAAACAACAAACAGTATATATAATATAATATAAATAATATACAGTATATATAATATAATATAAATAATAAACAGTATATATAATATAATATAAATAATGAACAGTATATATAATATAAACAACAAACAGTATATATAATATAATATAAATAATGAACAGTATATATAATATAATATAAACAACAAACAGTATATATAATATAATATAAATAATAAACCATATATATAATATAATATAAATAATAAACCATATATATAATATAAATAATAAACCATATATATAATATAATATAAATAATAAACAATATAAATGGTGTAAAATGTTATAACTCACATGTCTGATGAAGAGGTCGGCCAGCAGGTCGTGATTCTGGACACAACGGTCCAACTCCACCAGGAAGAAGCTAAAAGAAAATGCACACAGTGAGTCTGAGCGCGTGTGGAGGAAGACAGGAAGTGTGTTTTTATTAGTGTGTGTGTGTGTGTGTGTGTGTGAGAGAGACGGACTCGCGGTGCCAGTCGTAGATCTGCTGGATGTTTCCGAAGACGATCTTGTCTTTTCCTCTCATGTCCTCTGGAATCCCTCTAACCTCCAACCTGGACATGAAGCCCTGAGACACACACACACACACACACACACACACACACATACACATACACACACACACACACACACACACACATACACACACACACACACACACACACACACACACACAATTTATTTAATATATATGGCGACACAAATATATTCAATCCCATAAAACTAGTTTTGTTTGATTTGAGCTGTTTCTGAGTATGAAAACAATACAACGTGTAAATAATATAACTCACCTCCACAATCACACCCAGATCCTTCACGTAGTCCTTCTCTGATTGGATCATCTCGTTAACCACAAACCTGCACACACACACACACACACACACACACACACACACACACACACTCTCAATAAGTCGGTTTTAAATATTCACGCAGCTCGACACAGTTTGATGATCGCGGTCGCGTCTTACATGCGTCCTCTCAGCGCTTTATTCCGCTGTTCAGTGTCCGACTCGTTGGAGCCCTGATCTGAATCCAGAGCCTGAACACACAGAGAGAGAGACAGACAGAGAGACAGACAGAGAGACAGAGAGTTAAAAGAAAGAAACTAAAATACCGTTATATATACGTAAAACACACTGAAATACAGACTTGAACTGCCTCTACCCTCCCGCCTCGGTTGCCTCGGTTACCTCGGGGTTGTTCGGGTCTTTGATGATCTGCATGGGAGGTGGTAGAAGGGTGTGGCTTTCCTCCTCTGGCTCCTCCTCCCCTCCGCTCTGCCCTGCCTCCTCCTTCCTCGCCTTCTGCAGAAAGAGAAAGAAACTACTTCCTTATGTGTCTATATTCTTTTCCCATGTGTCCTGGAAACACCTGGAAATGGATTGAAATCAAGAAAAGGTCCTGGAAGATGATGTGTGTGTGTGTGTGTGTGTGTGTGTGTACCGTCTGTGCGTTGCCAGCGAGGGGCGTGGTGAGCTCCGGCCTGTTGTCCCGCCTCCTGGTCCTGATTGACGGTTTCTTCTGCCCGTCGGCCTTCCCCTGACTCAGCCTCCGGACGGGACTCGTCAGCCAGCGCTGCAACAGACAAACAGAAAGTTGTTTTTGAGGTACTCATACTTCACTCAAATATTCCAGAGTATTCCAGAGTGTTCCCGAGTATTCCCGAGTGTTCCCGCTCTCTGCAGTGCCGCCACAAGGACCAGCCGTTACCTTCAGGGTGTTTCCGGTTCCAGAGACAGTGCGTTTCGGCCCCGGAGAGCCAGCGGCGCCCCCTGGAGCCCCGCCCACTCCATACACCGTGGGGGAGGTGGCACCTGAGAGAGGATAAACAGGGAGGTGAGTTCACTGTACGTCAGGAGGGTGGGAGAATTCAGTTTCACCTCAGATTATTGTCTCACTTTGGCCGGTCTGAGCCTGGAGTCCCGAACCTTCAGAGCCATACAGACCGGACTCTGCAGACACAAACACAGACTGGAGTCACCACAACAGTTCAGAATAAAACCTCCTTCTTTATCTGCAGGGAGCAATAAAACTAGCCACAGGAGGCCGATATCTCAGCAGTGCAACCAAATGAAAGAGTAATATTTCAAGTTGAGGTGATTAAGATATAAACCTTTAAGTTTATTTTCACAGAGCCTTCACTCTCTGATTCCCAGCCTCGTCCTGGAACAATGGACAGAATAAAACACTAAATGTGTCCAAAAAGACGCCTATAATGTGTGTGTGTGTGGTAAAAGTGATAAAAATAAACATATTACAGACAGAGAACTGTATAAAAAGTTCCTATAAATACTAATTTCAGATCAATATTCACAGGAATAATCAGAGTGCACGAGAAAACCGGAAGTGACGATGGTTAACATACTACGCCAGTATCTTGTTATTATTAGCCATCGTATTTTCCGTTCAGCGAGTAATGACAACAACGATCCTTCTTGACTACTATCAACACTCTCTGATGAAAACAATGACTGACGACAGCGTGCTCTGTGTTTACTAGGTCTAGAGTGATCCGTCATTTCCGGTTTTCATTTTTTGGGGGCGAGAACACAGATTAGCGCCGCCTGGTGTTATGGGGACGTATTACGCCTCATGTATGTGCAGAACGTACGCTCCAGTCGACGTCGGTTTGGTGTGTTCAGAGACACTTTTTTTTTAAGTTATTTTTTTGGCCTTTTATTGCCTTAATTTGATACAGCTGAAGACAGACAGGGAAGGGGAGTAGAGAGAGGGGATGACACGCAGCAAAGGGCCGCAGGTCGGATTCGAACCCTGGGCCGCTGCGTCGCTGCAGTTAGGACTCAGCCTCGGTACATGGGTCGCCAGCTCTACCCACTGAGCTAACTGGGCGCCCACGGAGGCACTTTTTTGACCGACTCGGGGAGACGGGAGCCGACTGATCAGTCTGACTGCTTTTCTGCCGACGGTCGGCCGTCGGGTTAATGTGTACGGGCCTTAACATGATTTTCACAAGTTTAGTGACATCGGAATTACTGTGAAACACAGTGAGTGAGCGAGTACAGCTGGAGAATCTGGTTTCTGTAGTGGCCGACCCAGAGTGCTGCACGTTAAACAGGTTTCTGCTTTACACGTTTAAAAAGTCTCGTTCGCACTATACGACTTCCTCTTCAGCAACGGGGGGTCACACACTACAACCAGTCTGCCATTAATAACAGCATGGTTCATTAGAAAAGTAGTTTAACAGCAGGCACACAGCATACCTGATAATGATCCTGATCAGCAATCAATACTCCCATTATTAAAGCATTAATCAACCTGATCAGCCTTTAGCAGTTAGCTAGTGTTTCTGTAGTGGAGACTAAACGTTAACAATGATCCATATCAGCAGTTTGAATCCAACTAAAAGCTCCCTGCACCAAACTCCCTTTAAGAAATATCACATTTTAACAATTCCTAACGTGTTCGTAACAACACGTAACTCTAGAAACACGAGCTAAAGGCCGTCATATGTCCACAGTCTGACTGTCAATACAGGATCAATATCATCCATAAAGATACAGTGTATACTGATCAATATCATCCATAAAGATACAGTGTATACTGATCAATATCATCCATAAAGATACAGTGTATACTGATCAATATCATCCATACAGATACAGTGTATACTGATCAATATCATCCATAAGATACAGTGTATACTGATCAATATCATCCATACAGATACAGTGTATACTGATCAATATCATCCATAAGATACAGTGTATACTGATCAATATCATCCATAAAGATACAGTGTATACTGATCAATAATCAATAAAGATACAGTGTATACTGATCAATATCATCCATAAAGATACAGTGTATACTGATCAATATCATCCATAAAGATACAGTGTATACTGATCAATAATCAATAAAGATACAGTGTATACTGATCAATATCATCCATAAAGATACAGTGTATACTGATCAATATCATCCATACAGATACAGTGTATACTGATCAATAATCCATAAACTGCTCTGTATTGACATTGATCGGATTATCTGAGTATTGATACTTTAACTTCTTCCACCGCTGAGTTAAACACTAACAGAGAGTGAGACAGACGGAAGACAGACAGTTTCTTCCTGTCGTCTTCCTTCAGGTCGGTGAGGGGCGACCTCCTGCTGACTGCGCACACACACACACACACACACACACACACACACACACACACACACACACACACACACACACACACACGTTGCTGTGACGGGAGAGAGAGAGTCACCTTGTCCCATCACTCATTAACCAGCACATATTTACTCTCTCTCTCTCTCTCTCTCTCTCTCTAATTTCATATCAAAGACCTACCTTGCTCGTCCGCTCCCTCTCCCACAATCCACCCCCAAACGGCAGAACAATCCCAGCATGCACCTCTGCCCCTCCGCATGCTTCAGCATCGATCCGTCCAGAGAGTAACAGGATAGAAGACGACAGCAGGACGTAAAGAGACGGACAGTTTCTGTCCACAGCGGCGGGTGAAACTAAACCGGAGTCAGAGTGTGGGGGCGGGGCTAAACTAAAGGGGCGGGGCTTGATTTAGGTGGGGGTGTGGCTTCAGTAACGTTTGTCACTGCTGACATTAAAATATAATACAATTAAAGTTACTGAAATGTCATTAAAATGCTGAATAAACTACAAACTACGTAACAAATGAAGTAAAGTAAAAATAAAATAAAATTTGCCAAGGTTCAAAGAATTAATTAAAATGCACAATATGATTACAAATATTATTAAAAAATGCTGAAAAATACATATGAAATAAAGGCAAATACAAAACAAAAAAAAAGAATAAACTCAATTTTACAAAATTAGTTAAATGTGTTAAAATACTTTAGAAAAATCTAATTGATAAAATAAGATAAATTAAAAGATAAAAACATAAAAAGGACCAAAAATAAAACACAAAATGTGGATTAAATGAAATATGATAAAAAGAATAAAAAGTTAAATAGAAAAATCTAATGTAATTTAATCAAGTAACAAAGTAAGGCAAACAAAAAAATAGTAGTTAAAAGAAAGTAAGTAAAAAAACAAATTAAATAAAGTTTTATATATATAACAGGAGACAAAATTATAAAAAAAAACAAAAGAAATAAACTAATTAATAAAAATAAAATAGAACAAATTAAAATACTCAGAAATATAAACTGAAAACAACTACTTTATTTTTAACCTGCAGCTCCCATTGTTACACACAGCAGGTAGCCACACACACACACACACACACACACACACTCACACAAACACATGCACACACACACACACACACACACACACACACACACACACACACACACACACACAGGATGTTAAACTAAAAGATTCCTGTTGAGTCTGAAACTCCCTCAGGTCAATGTTTAACTCTGAGACTGTCTCACCTCTGGACTGTGTGTGTGTGTGTGTGTGTGTGTGTGTGTGTGTGTGTGTGTGTGTGTGTGTGTGTGTGTGTGTGTCTGTATCTGTCTGTCTGTGTGTGTGTGTGTGTGTGTCTGTTTGTCTGTATCTGTCTGTGTGTGTGTGTGTGTGTCTGTGTGTGTGTGTGTGTGTGTCTGTATCTGTCTGTGTGTATCTGTCTGTGTGTGTGTGTGTGTGTGTGTGTGTGTGTGTGTGTGTGTGTGTGTGTGTGTGTGTGTGTGTCTGTATCTGTATCTGTGTGTTTGTGTGAGAGACATCAGACCACATTAACTCTGAGGCCTGTGAGTGTGGACGGATCAATACAGTTCAGATTCTCGTTCTCATTTAAGTTCAGGGACACTTAAAAAATGAAAAATGTAATATATCTGTAATATATCTGTAATATATCTGTAAAATATCTGTAATATATCTGTTATATATCTGTAATATATCTGTATAAGCTGATGCTGGGGCTGCAGCGTTATGAAACAGGGTCTCTGTTCGACGTTAATGTGAAGCTGCAGATTCTGACAAACAAACTAAAATGTGGTTAATGTTTAATGCTGCAGGACGAGCTTCACAAACACATTTTTAAATATTCAGGGAGAGACAGACAGGATGTGGGACATCATTCAACATGTATGTGGGCTGAGGATGTTTAAAGTTCCCACTGTTTAAACAGGAAGTGACATCAGGGGGAACATGGGAAGTGCTGCAGTGACGGCAGATGGACACAAGCAGCCATACGTGACCTTTTTGTAGATGAAATATCTAAAACGATGAACTCAATCAGGCGACCAGTGACCACAGCAGCACAGGAGAGTAAGAAGGTTTAGAATTGTTGGTGTTGGCGATGTGCGACGCGTACGTGGGAGAAGCTAACATTTGAATGAGCTCCTTCAACGGTGCTTCTCAGACATTATTTAAAGCAGACTCTACCAGCACAATAAATGAGCGAGTACTGATTAAAAATGCATGATCAGACGGGGAGGAAGATGTCTCACCCCTCCCGGCGTTCAGAGTGGAGGACGAGTTGGAGCTGTTGGAGGAGGAGGTGGTGGTGGTGGAGGAGGAGTTGCAGGAGGAGGAGGTGGTGGTGCTCGTAGACGATGTGCTGGAGGAGGTGGTGGAAGCCGGGATGAGCCCCTCCATGTCGGCTGCACTGTGGGAGTGTGACAGACAGAGGGCGCTCATCGGCAGTAGACCCTCCTGCAGGGACACGGAAGAGTTCACTTAGATTTGTTACTTGTGGGGGCGTTGTGGTTGTATTTGTTACTTGTGGGGACGTTGTGGTTGTATTTGTTACTTGTGGGGACGTTGTGGTTGTATTTGTTACTTGTGGGGACGTTGTGGTTGTATTTGTTACTTGTGGGGACGTTGTGGTTGTATTTGTAACTTGTGGGGACGTTTGATTGATTACCTGCTGGGGCGTTTGTTCTGTCGTCCTGACCAGACACCACCCGGGCCGTTCGGCTGAGCGCTCCACCAGCTCCACGGTCTGACCACAGCGGACGCTGAGCTCTCCTGGTCCCCCGGAGGAGAAGTCCAATAACACCACGACTAACTCACAGCCTCCGGACAGCTGGAGACACACACAGGAAGCACACATTATTGACTTCTGACGACCCTGTGAGTTATTATTTAATTATAACAGCATTATTATTCCTACTAGAAGCTCTTATAATAGTCAAAGTAGCATCAGTAGCCGGCCAACCAGCGCACACACACTCTCACACACCCACAAACACTGAGTCCAGAGGGGTGTGTGTGTTCAGACTGTAACTGCTCAGTCTTACTAAAATATTAATAATTACAGTTTACATTAATTATTTGCACATTGACAGAGTATTTAACAACCTGCTGTTTCCTGTTTGTCACATTGAATCACAGAGTTAACAGCTCCACCTGCTGGTGGGACAGTAAACACTCTGAATATCAGGACAACATGAAAAATCCAATATAACAGAGCCACAGTGACAAATATTGATCCACTCAATTAAAATACTCACAAATAAAGTCACCAATAAAATAAAATAATAATAAAAACATAAAGATTAACCAGAAGTCGAAGCACTTTAAAACCTTTAACAGATAAATCAGGCCATCACATCAGCTTCTAATACCGGACATTAGTCATAACATAACATAACATAACATAACATAATATGATATAATAATAATAATAATACTATTATCTCTCTCTTTCAGGAAACCGGCAGCGACAAACAAACCCGACATGACAAATGACTAAACTGCCGACATCTGATTGGCTGGGTAGGGAGCAGAAAACATCACGTGATCTAGATCAGTGAGATCACCATGGTTACGGAGGACTCTGTGTGTGCTGACTTATAGTGAACTCGAGCACACACACACACACACACACACACACACACACACACACACACTCTCTCAGAGGGTCTGCTGGGAGTAGCGGGGTGTTTCCCGTCCAAATCGAACCCAGATGTGATCAGTTTCAGCTCGGCTGGCGTCACATGTGGAGGACACAGACACACAGATGTACGGTGGACACAGACACACAGATGTACAGTGGACACAGACACACAGATGTACAGTGGACACAGACACACAGATGTAACGTGGACACAGACACACAGATGTAACATGGACACAGACACACAGATGTACAGTGGACACAGACACACAGATGTACAGTGGACACAGACACACAGATGTACGGTGGACACAGACACACAGATGTAAGGTGGACACAGACACACAGATGTACAGTGGACACAGACACACAGATGTAAAGTGGACACAGACACACAGATGTACAGTGGACACAGACACACAGATGTACAGTAACAACACACAGTGTAAAGTGGACACAGACACACAGATGTACGGTGGACACAGACACACAGATGTACGGTGGACACAGACACACAGATGTACGGTGGACACAGACACACAGATGTAACGTGGACACAGACACACAGATGTACGGTGGAGGAAAGGACCAGAGTGAAAGTAGAAATGTGAAATAAGATATAAAAAAATACTAAAAGTAGTAAAAGTAGTGAAATGTTCCAGGTTTTTTGAGGCAGACAGATTTCATTGGAGAAAATGAATGTGTGTTTTCAGGATCCTGTCCTGGATTCTCTAGAAAAAGACCTTTATTTAATATTCAAACATTATTTAAATAAATAAATGATCATAAATAATTTAACATTTAACCACTTGTAGAAAAGTTCCAACAACCAAAGAGGTTACAGCTCTCACTACATTTACTATACTAACAGCACTCACAGTGTCAGAGGTCAGAGGTCACTGACCCCACCCTCAGCTAGAACTACCAGCAGGTACAAGAAGAGAAATCAAACGTACCTCGTCAGGAGACAGAAAACAAGTGAAAGTTTGTACGAAGAATGTGAGGACGAACAGAGGAAACTCCCTCACACACACACACACACCCCGCCAGCTGTAGCCAGTGGTGATGTCATGAGACTGTGTGACACACCCCTCAGTGTGTGTGTGTGTGTGTGTGTGTGTGTGTGTGTGTTACCTTGTCGCTGTCTGCGGTGTTTTGCGATGTTCGGGAGGCGATGGAGACGGTGTCGGGCTGACTGCTGGCATCACCCAGACTGTCTGCGTCCTCGCTGGTCTCCCTGACAGACAGACAGACAGACAGACAGACAGACAGACAGACAGACAGACAGGCAGACAGACAGGCAGAGTGTCAGTTTCCTGTTTCAATGCGACTTCATTTTTACTTTTCAGTGTCTGAATACCTCTCCCAACCACTAGGGGTCGCCAGAGCTACACAGTGAGGCCATCTTGATTTTAAGGTGTGAATGAAAACATAAAAGATATACACAGCAGGTCGCTCATCAAAATAAATAATCTGATCAATAATCATCCAAATCTCTGCTTTCACACAACCTTCCTGCAGTAAGTCATTAAAGGACCAGTGTGCAGGATCTAATGGTGACGATTATCATATTCATATTCAAAGGTCAGAGGTCGCGCTAACTGCGCTGACCTGCGGCTGATGCTGCGCTGTCGACCCAGGGTGGGGTTTGGTGTCTTGGGGAGGGGGATGGGCTCCCTCAGCGCCCCCCGCAGGTGGCCCCGCCTCTCCTGGATCACCTGTCGGATGCTGCGGACCCACTCCTGCTTCAGCTCCAGCGACGCCGCCTGTGGACAGCGGGGAAGGACAGGTGAGCCTCAGCAGCACGCCGTCAAACACCTGCACGGCGGGTAAACGCTCATCAGACGTACCTTCAGGACCGTCTTGTTGTCGGACGTCGGCGTTCGTCCAACCCACAGAGCGAACTTACAGGGATCCCCCTCGATGTGCTCCGTGACGCCGAGCTCTGAGGTCTGAGAGAGAAAGCAAACATTAACAGTTCATCTCTTTCATTATTACTCATATTAAACTCAGTGTCCACGTCTGTGTTACCCTCAGCCGGCTCTTGTACAGGTATTTGGTTCGTCCGGACGAGTCTTTAATCTCCTTGCTGAAGATGAGTGACAGCTCGAACAGGAAGAGGTGTCGGTCCCGCCCCTTCCTGATCAGAGACTTTGGCTCCCAAACCAGAAAGGAGTCCTGGAGGAGGAGCTCGCCCTGCACCTCCAGACCCTCCTCCAGACCTGACGGGCACAGCAACAACAGGTTTAACATCATTATCACTCATCATTCAGCTCCTTCACAATAAAAGACCACAAACAGTAAACATTATTGAGCTCCTTCACAATAAAAGACCACAAACAGTAAACATTATTGAGCTCCTTCACAATAAAAGACCACAAACAGTAAACATTATTGAGCTCCTTAAAAGCCGCCTGGGTGCTGAACAGTTGCTTCACAATAAGAGCATGATGAAAGCTCTTCAGCTGCTTCACAGTAAAAGTTTCATCAGTGGTGTTAAAATAATCTGTGTTTGTTACCTTCCAGCATGCTAACATGCATAGCATCGTTCGCTCTCTTCGGGACGCTCAGCATCACGTCTAGGCCTTCTTTTATCTCACCCTTTCCCTCCTCGCAGCACGCCAGCAGCTCCTACGAATACACACACCTTTATCAGTCTGTTACTGAGAGACACCACCACGAGATGTATAATCAATGATTATTTATTACTCACTGAATGTTTATTTAAAGGAAATATTATAATGCAGGTTTTTAATAAAAATGTTATATAGTATATTATATATGTATATTTTATGCAGTATGTATATAAATACAACTATTCATGCTTTTTATTAGTTATCTGCATTATAAATCCAAATATTTTAGACCCATCAGATTAAAACAAAGAAAAAATCTAAATAAAGAATTAATAAATATCTGAACACATTTCCTTTCATTTTGACAAATAGAAACAGAAACTGAGCGGTTCACTAGTATTAAGTAGTAATTATTGGTAAAGAACAATAAAAATCAAACAGAAAACAACAAACTCTGAGAAAAGTTTGAGATAAAAAGAAAAGAGTTTATATGTGCGTCACATTGAGGCTCCCGCTGCAGCCGAGCTCAACTCACATCAAAGATTTCACACTTAAAATGTGTTTCATTATTCTGGGCACCCAGACCGGGTCCTAAAGCTGGAACCCTCGGGGGGGTTTCCAAACAGCCAGAAGGAACAAACACTGGTTCAGGTTTCAGGCGTTTAAACGAACTCTGTCTGAGCTCTTCGTTAGCGTTAGCATTAGTGTTGGTGCTACCTTGAGCAGCAGCTGGTATTTGGTGATCCTCTGAACCGGTTTGATGAGAGCTGAGGAGATGGAGTTGGTTAGACCGTGTCTCCTCTGGACCTCCTGCACACAAAACGTGATAAAGGCACAAATTATAAACCCGCCCCTCCACTGTACAGCCCCGCCCATATATTGCAGTACTTATTACATATTACAGTACTTATTACATATTACAGTACTTATTACAGTACTTATTACATATTACAGTACTTATTACATATTACAGTACTTATTACAGTACTTATTACATATTACAGTACTTATTACAGTACTTATTACATATTACAGTACTTATTACAGTACTTATTACATATTACAGTACTTATTACAGTACTTATTACATATTACAGTACTTATTACAGTACTTATTACAGTACTTATTACAGTACTTATTACAGTACTTATTACATATTACAGTACTTATTACAGTACTTATTACATATTACAGTACTTATTACAGTACTTATTACATATTACAGTACTTATTACAGTACTTATTACAGTACTTATTACTAGGGATGCACGATATATATCAGCATTAACATCGGTATCGGCCGATGTTCGTCATTTTTTAACATATCGGCATCGGTCCGATGAGTAAAATTGGGCCGATATCCACAAACGATGTATATCCTCTAGTTGCTGTTTGTGTGTCGGGAGAAGGAGGGGGAGGGGGATTTGGCCATGTGTATTTGTTTGGGCACGCGACAGAAAAAATGTCTGCGTTGTGGGCGTTTTTCACGGTGTCAAAAGAAGACACTCGAAAAACAGTATGCAACACCTGCAAAGTGGAGGTAATGAGAGGAGGATGTTGCCATGGATACTGGCATGTTTGATAAGTGGTAGAGGTTGGTTACTTATGTTTTATGGTAGCTCTGTAACTTTGTTATTTGGAAGTAAAATACGTTCTGAAAATAAAGGAAGACATTCAAAAATTCAGTTTGCATGATTTTCAGTCTGTACTAAATTTTATCATCTCAGAGACTTTAAAAAAAAACATATATCGATATCGGTAAATATCGGTTATCGGCCATAATAGCAAAATTAATATCGGATAATCGGTATCGGCCAAAATTTTCCTACCGGTGCATCCCTACTTATTACATATTACAGTACTTATTACATATTACAGTACTTATTACAGTACTTATTACATATTACAGTACTTATTACTTATTACAGTACTTATTACAGTACATATTACAGTACTTATTACATATTACAGTACTTATTACAGTACTTATTACATATTACAGTACTTATTACAGTACTTATTACATATTACAGTACTTATTACAGTACTTATTACATATTACAGTACTTATTACAGTACATATTACAGTACTTATTACATATTACAGTACTTATTACAGTACTTATTACATATTACAGTACTTATTACTTATTACAGTACTTATTACAGTACTTATTACATATTACAGTACTTATTACAGTACTTATTGCAGTACTTATTACAGTACTTATTACAGTACTTATTACTTATTACAGTACTTATTACATATTACAGTACTTATTACAGTACTTAATGCAGTACTTATTACAGTACTTATTACAGTACCTATTACTTATTACAGTACTTATTACAGTACTTATTACATATTACAGTACTTATTACTTATTGCAGTACTTATTACAGTACTTATTACAGTACTTATTACTTATTACAGTACTTATTACATATTACAGTACTTATTACAGTACTTATTGCAGTACTTATTACAGTACTTATTACTTATTACAGTAGTTATTACAGTACTTATTACATTGTACAGTACTTATTACAGTACTTATTACTTATTACAGTAGTTATTACAGTACTTATTACATATTACAGTACTTATTACAGTACTTATTGCAGTACTTATTACAGTACTTATTACAGTACTTATTACTTATTACAGTACTTATTACAGTACTTATTACATTGTACAGTACTTATTACAGTACTTATTACTTATTACAGTAGTTATTACAGTACTTATTACATATTACAGTACTTATTACAGTACTTATTGCAGTACTTATTACATATTACAGTACTTATTACAGTACTTATTACAGTACTTATTACATATTACAGTACTTATTACAGTACTTATTACAGTACTTATTACAGTACTTATTACATATTACAGTACTTATTACATATTACAGTACTTATTACAGTACTTATTGCAGTACTTATTACAGTACTTATTACATATTACAGTACTTATTACAGTACTTATTACAGTACTTATTGCAGTATCTTTTGCAGTAACTGTTGTGGAACTTGTAGATATCAGTTACTCACTGTGCTGCATGACGCAGTTCTTCAAAATAAAAGCGTTGATTTGGATATTCACTGCTTCATGTTACACAACCAATGATTATTTATTTAGAACCAAAGGAAACTCTCACCTCGAAGAAGCCGGCGCCGTGCTGCTGGATCAGTAAACTGGAGTCCGGTTTGTTCCTGCAGTACGTCACGTACATGTGGAACTTATCAGCCTGAGACACAGACGGCGAGTTTTACTCACAGTATTTGTTATTTACAGTGTTTAACTGGTAGAAATGAAACCAAACTGGTTACCCAGGTAACGAAGCAGTGTCCAACATCCTCAGGAAGCTGTTCGTAGTTCTCCAGCTCCTTCAGGAAAATACTGCCAAACACAGAGTACTGCGTTACTACACAGAATACTGTACAGTGTTATAGAGCTTACTGTAGTTACTACAGTAGTTCAGGTTATACATGGTACACACTGCAGTGATGTAGTTCTACAGTAGTTCAGGTTATACATGGTACACACTGCAGTGATGTAGTTCTACAGTAGTTCAGGTTATACATGGTACACACTGCAGTGATGTAGTACATGTCCAGTATCTGTTGTTTTATCCTACATGTGTACAACTGTAGTATATACTTTATCTATATTTTAAAACCGGTTATAGAACTTGTTCATATGTTCATAGATGTCCTTTTGCAGTATAGTTTGCAGTATAGTTTGCAGTTTGCAGTATAGTTTGCAGTATAGTTTGCAGTATAGTTTGCAGTTTGCAGTATAGTTTGCAGTATAGTTTGCAGTTTGCAGTATAGTTTGCAGTACCTGTTGTGGAACTCGTAGATGTCCTGGATGTTTCCAAACACGATGTCGTCCTTGTTGTTGAGTCCAGGAGGGACGTCCTCGGAGCCGCTCGTCATCTCCCATAGGTACGTCTGGAAAAAGCAGTACTGTCAGAAAAAGGTACCGTGTAGTACTACATCGTAGTGCTGTAATGTGCCACAGGGGTTCTTCCTCACTGAATGAATTTGCTCATTGTCAGTGCAGCAGGTTGAAATGTGTAGTCTGTGGTTCTGTCAGCAGAGGGCGCTGTTTGTTTTAATACACAGTCCAGTATCATGAAGTACTGCATTACATAAAGGAATTACACAGTGGTAATACTGTGTGGTAAATAGTGCTACAGCACTACGGTACCTCGATACACTCCTGCAGATCTCTGACGTAGACTCTCTCCGTCTGAAGGAGCTCAGCCATGATGTACCTGAGAGCACACACACACACACACACACACACACACACACACACGCACGTTACCAAAGCATGTAGAATCAGTACTGCAGTATCAGTAGTACTCGTGGTACTCACTCTTTCTTGCGGGCGGAGCGTCTCTTCTCGTCGCTGACCTGGTGGCTGGGGTCAGACAGGTTGACCTCGGGGTCGGAGTCAGACAGACTGTTGGGGATGAGCTCCAGCTCCAGGTCCTTATTGTCCTGAGGGGGACACCGTACAGCGCGCTCAGAAGGGGACGCACAAATTTTAGATTTCCACATTCAAGCGCAGTGTTTTTGATGCTTACCTGCGAGCACCCTCCGAGCGCCGTCTCCAGCAGGTGGCGGTACTGTCCCATCCTGACAGTGAAGTCGCGGTAGCGTTTATCCACCGTGGAAACGCAGCGGCGGAGCTCTGTGCGGTGGCCGTGGCCTTTAGCCAGCATGCTCTCAGCCAATTGGATGAGCAGGTGGACCTTTTCCTGCGTGTGCTGTGAGGCAGAGAGACAGGTGAGTGCCGGTTTCACTGATCGCATCCTGTCTGTCAGTGTGTGTGTGTGTGTGGGTGTGTGTGTGTGAGCTCACCTTGGCGGACACACAGAACTCTCTGTGCTGGTTCAGCAGTTCTTGCGTCTCAGCCACCGTTGCCCCTGGCGACGTGTGCGTGGCCAGGTAGTGGTCACCTGACTGCTGCAGCCAATCCAGAGCCTGCAACAAAAAGACACGTTAATGTTTGTTCTGTTCAACAAAAATACAAATAAATAAATATTCAAAAAAACCTGTCCCTGTAATGAAGTGTAGTGGCGGGGCGGTCTACCTGCTGGGCGTGGCTCTGGAACATCAGGTACTGCTGGCACTGATCCAGTCTACGTTTCTTCAGAGTCCAGAAATGAAGAACTCGGTTTTCCCTCTGGAGCAGCTCACTGAGGATACCTGCGCACAAAGACACACCTGGATCAGTAAAATGAACACTGTGCAGCAATAAATAACAACCAATGAGCAGCAGAGTTCCTCAGGGCTCTGTACTGGCCCCACTGTACTTGTGTATTTCTGCGTGTGCTTGTTCACCTTTGACCTGCTGCTCCGGTACCCTGGAGTGCCCGGTGACCTCGGTGACCCCCGTTACCCCAGACACGGTGACGCTGTGGCCCGAGATGTTCGCCATGGTGACGCTGTTGCGGTGGATGTACTTGAGGAAAACTTCAGCGTTTCTTCTGGCCAGCGTGCAGGCCTGTTACCATGGAAACGAGACTGTTAGGAACCATATCATATTACAACGAAATATTGATTTTAATGGAATTATTGGTTATATTTATACAGTTCAGGACTGTCAAAGACAATCCGAGACTACTAAATACAATCAAACAATATGAACTGAACAAGATCATTAAAAATGATTAGATACCTCAAAGTATTTGACATATACTGTTTAATCAGTTCATTTCACTTTTGCTCTTTTGTTTATAAAATGCTGAAAGAAACCACCCTTGCTCCCATCCTTTACCAAAACTGCCACGCCCAGGTCTAGTTGCTGAGCTGTGATTGGACCCCTCTGGGTTTAAGACTTTCTCCCGGTCTCCTCACCTTCAGGAACGCCTCCTTCTGCTCCATGTGTTTGTTGATGAGCGGCATGAGTTGCTCCGGCTGCCTGTCCCCACCTCCGCACCAGTCCTCCTCCCTGCGGTACTCCTGCTCCAGGCTCTCCAGCACCCCGCACACCTGGAGGGAGAGAGAGAGTCAGACAGGTAGGTAGGCAGACAGGTAGAGAGTGGACAGACAGACAGGTAGACGGCACTACCTGCTGGGATGTCCTGTAGAAGGCTGCGGAGGCGTTGACCAGTTTGAGTCTGTCTTCAATCCTCAGCATCAGGGTCTGCCAGTGCAGCGCCACCGTCTGGGCACAAGACCTCACTGCATCTGGATCATAGTGACCTGACCTGAGGGAGCAAGGTCAGAGGTCAGAGTTCAGATGATTGGGGCAGTGTTAATACAGGTTAAAGAGGTTCTAAGGAACTCTTATTATTATCTGATTATTAGCCCTTAACTAAGCTACTGTTAAATGAATATTAAACATTTTGAGAAATACACTTGTTTGTTTTACAGTCAGGGCGCAGTTAGCCTAGCTTAGTATAAAGACAACAATAACATTAAAATCCTGCTTTTACATTAATGCTGAGTCATAATAATGTGTTTTCAAAGAGCAGGTGCAACCAGATGTTGATGAATGAATCGGTGCAGTGCTCACTAACCTGACCAGCAGCTCCGCTCTCTGCTGCAGAGCCAGAGCCACCTGATGGGTCCTCTGCAGGGAGTCTGCGTGGAGCAGAGCCTGGAGAGCGAGAGAGTGGACAGACATTCATTCATGTTAATCAGCAGGAGTTATAAACTCCTCATTGGTGTCCTGTCGCCGTGGTAACCTTTACATCTCTCTGCAGGAGGTCATTGACTTATTTTCGTCATCTTCCTTTTTGTGAACAAGATCTCAAAATGTTGCTGTCAATGAACTGAATAATTCAAAAAATATTCAAAATTCTTTCATTTCAGCTTAAATATGAATATTTTCTGTGTGTTCTGAGTCCTCTAGGATAGTAAACTGAATAACTTACAGCCCGAATGCACTTTTGTATTAGTGTGGGTTTTTCTGTGTGTGTGCAGTCACCTCTATGGCCTGCTGGAGGCGCTCGTGCTCCCTCTGCAGCTGCTCAGCTTCAGATAAACAGCTGGAGTTCAACATGCAGGACGACAGCATGACCTCCCCCTCCGAGATCCAACCCAGCACCTGAGACACAGACAGGTAGTCACAGACAGACAGGTCAGTCCCTGTAGCAGCAGCAGTGCCTGGATGTTACCTGTTTGACCTGGCCCTGCAGGTGAGTGTGTGTTACCTGTTTGACCTGGCCCTGCAGGTGAGTGTGTGTTACCTGTTTGACCTGGCTCTGCAGGTGAGTGTGTGTTACCTGTTTGACCTGGCTCTGCAGGTGAGTGTGTGTTACCTGTTTGACCTGGCCCTGCAGGTGAGTGTGTGTTACCTGTTTGACCTGGCCCTGCAGGTGAGTGTGTGTTACCTGTTTGACCTGGCTCTGCAGGTGTCTCAGCTGCAGGTTCTGCTCCAGGTGCGTGTGCGTGTGATCTGCAATCTGCTGCAATTCCTTCTGCTTGTCCTGCAGGAGGCGCTGCAGCTCCTCCACCTGAGAGGAGAGACCCCCCTCTGCCTCCGACAGCTCGATACCTGACACACAGACACACACACACACACACACACACACACACACTTTTAGACATTTTGGCTGGTATGGTCCTCACAAGTATAGAAATATGTGTTTTAATCTCCATTCGTGTGTGCATGGATGTGTGTGTGTCTCCATGGCAAATTCAATACGCTGGTTTCCATGGGGACCAGCTGTGTGCTTCAGAGAGCAGTTTCCATGGCAACCCCATCCCCCTTTTCCCCCTCCCCCCATTATCCTCTCGGCCCCCCCCCCATTTCCCCCTAATATCATCAGTGTGTTACTGAACTGGTCAGACTGATGCTGCACTGTAGCATAAAATGTGCTGACTGCTTTCTATTCTATTGTATTCTATTCTATTTTATTCTCACGGCGGAAGAGAAAATATGATCAATCTGGTAACTGTGAACTGCTTCCTGCCAGTTTATGGTTGTTTGATGGAATCAAAGAGCCCTGAAACCCCCTCAAGGAACGCCAAAAAGGCCCTGGAGTACTGCTGCAAGCCCCAAAATGAAATCCAAAAAACATCAAAGACCACATGAACACTCGTCAATTATCTGTGCAAAGGAGCACTGGAGCACGACCAACAAACTGTCAAACCCCATACAAACCTCTGGAATCCCTCATAGGAGGAAGCATTGGAAACCACTCAAGGACCACTGGGGCTCACAAAAACTCCACAAAGTCCCTCAATGCTTTGAAGCTAAGGGACAAGGATCTCTGTTACCTCCTTGGAGACCATTGGAGCTCTGTAAGGAGCACTAAAAAGATGCCTGAAAATCCCTTAGGGTCCCTCCATTGAAAGAATCCCCTGAAGGATTACTGGAGCACCACCAAGGATATCTGGATCCACCTCAAGGACATTGAAAACACCACTGATGAAACCACCACTTCTCAAAAATTACCAGCTTCAATGTGCATTAGAAATTATTTGGAATGCAAAAAAAAAGACTCATCAAGAACCATTGGAGCTTCCTGAGGGACGTCTAGAACCCCCTCTGGAATTCAGGGAGCAGCAGAGACCCCTAACAGACCCTGGACCCCATAAAAAAGACTATTGGAAATCCCACATTGTCCCTGGAACCAGTGGAACCACTTCAAGGACTATTGGGACCTCCTAGAGACTTTTCACTGAATGTCTCTTCTCATTGACCGTTGTAGCACTGTCACTGGCACTCCCTTAAGGTCCCTTAAGACCACTGAATAAGTGACAATTACAATATTACAATCTCTGGAAACCCATGTGAAATTATAGGAAGCAACAACTTGAAACCCCTATAGGAGGCATTAGAAACCACTCAAAGACCCCCAGAATGCACAAAAGACTCCTGGAAGTCTCTCAAGGTCACAAGATAATTATCAAGGACTCCTGGGAATCCCTTCAAGAACCATTTAAACCCTTGAAAACCCTTCAAGGACCACTTCGAAACTCTGATGAATCTCTTTCTCCTACATTACTGTTGTAACCCTCAAAGTGGCCTTTGTCCAGGAACACTTTCATTTACCTCTACAACCCCTTAATGGACTTCAAGAACTCCTTGAAGGACCACCACAGCTCTATTAAGCAGCAAAATCCAACAAAACACTCCTGGAAGCCCCTCAATGTAGATTAATGTAGCTCCTAGTCCCTTCCTGTGGTGTACCCCAGGGTTCAATCCCAGTTCCCTTTCTTTTCTGTCTATATAAGCTGCCATTATGATCTATAATTGAAAAACATAGTGTGTATACATATACATATGACAATATGCAGATGATACCAAGCTCTATGTTTCTGTTCATCTGATGACCTCAGCCCTGTTGACACCCTTGTTAATTTCATTTCAGATCAGCAAATGGGAAGTCTGTGAATGTAATCATATCACTAATCAATAGCAGCACTAATCATACCAGCAGTAGTAGTAAATATAGTATTAAACACAGCATTAGTAGAAGTCCAACTGCAGCACCAACAGCCACAGTGTGAATCTTACCTGACGCCTGGACCTCAGTGATGTACTGCTGAAGGTCGTGACCTTGTTGGATGACCTCGTAGATCATATTGTTCATAGCCAGCCTTCGTTCCATGTGCCTGTAGATCAATCAATCAATCAATCAATCAATCAATCAAAGTCTACCATGACCTTGTTTTAATTTTTGTGCTGAGCCAGGATTATGTCCTTGCACTGGCCTGTTTACCTGTGGATGCGCTGTTGTGCTAGCGTTAGCACCTCAGGGCTAGCCTCCACTAGCCGCGTCTGGCCCAATGCTAGCTTGTCCTGGTTGCCGTCGGCTAGTCGCGGTGATGCTAGCTTCTCCGCGGAGAAGTCCTGGGACTGTTTCTGGAGGTCCTGCTTCCAGGCGTCCATTTCCCCGGTTACCTACAAAACACATGCACACGTAGGGAATCAAACCGCGAAGCAGTGGAGATAGGTTCCAGAAATAATTTGAGAGAAATGTATAATGTATTAAAAATCAATAAATTAATTAATTAACTAAAATAAACTGTACCTCCAGTGTGCACTGGTGCAGGATGCGGAGCTGCAGGTAAACATCCAGTCGGATCTTCCTCTGATGGAAAAGTTCCTCCAGCTGAACGTGAGCCTCCTCCAGCTGCTGGAGCACTGACTCCACATGGGCCACCGAGCTGCCCTGGGGCCTGAAACAAACACACCTAAAATGGTTAAACAAACCTAAAAACAAACACAACCACATAACCACGTTGAAAACTAGAAAACAAATGCACCACAATGTTTACATACACCAACTACGGTGAAAGCAGTGAAACAAACACCCACACAGGCCATATACATTTAATAATAACGCCCCCCAACATGTTATACAAACTAGAAAACCAACACACCTAGACAGGGTTTCTGAAAACAAACACACCCACAGAGATTATACAAACTACAAAACAAATGCATCCATACAGAATGCTGAAAACAAATGCACCCACAATCATTACAAACACCTACTCCACACAGGCCTCTGAGCTGCCCTGTGGAGTGAAACAAACACCCACACAATAAACACACCCGCACAGGTTATATAAATGAGAAAACTACGAAACTAGAAAACAAACATACAGATAAAGGCTTTGCAAAATTGAAAAACAAACGCACCCAAACTACAAAACAAACGCACCCACACAGAATACATCATATGGACCACAGAGCTGCCTTGAGGCATTAAACAAACGTATCCCACAATAATTACACCAGCTCCACACAGGCTGGCCTGACAAGTGTAACAAACGCACCCACACGAGCTGTAAAAAGGCTCTCACGCAGCAGCGCAGAGGCATGAATCAAACGCACCCACGCTCTCTGTGTGTACCTGAGTTGCAGGATGAGGTCTTCTCCTTCCCGGATGACACTCATCGCAGCTTCCTGTGGGTCAGGGTTAGAGTCAGGGTTAGTGTGAGGGTTAGAGCGGAAGGGTCAGAGGTCAGGGGGGTGTTAGGTTGTTACCACTGGGTTAGACTTCAGGTCAGAGGTCAGCAGGTACCTGTGTGTTGGCCTGCTGCTGCTGCTGCTGGCTGATGAGAGCCTGCAGAGCCTCAACGGAGTCCGGACAAACACAGAGATCTGAGGAGAGCTGCTTCTGAAGGCCCTCCATCCAGACTGACAGCTGAGGAGGAGGAAGAGGAGGAGAGAGGAGGAGCAAGAAAAAGATAAATGAGACTCACAGCTTTCAAAGTTTGTGTCCTTTAACACTGCAGATATATATTGTAATATATACAATAATATCTGTGTGTGTGTGTGTGTTACCTCCTTGGTGTGTGTGTAGAAGGACACAGCGAGGTCCAGCAGCAGCTTCCTCTGTTCAACTCGCTGGATGAACGCCTGAAAACACGATTAATCATTAAAGATGAACACATGAATGCACCAATAATTACCAATAATAAAGTACTTTTACTGTCGTACTGCTACTTCTTCCTCCACCAGGAACCAATTTAATGCACAATTCAACAGTTCAATTAAGTTTTTTTATTTGTGAGCTACTGCAAACTCTTCCTGTAGCTGCTTTTCAGAATAAAAGCCTCTATGGGGGGTTTACCTGCATGCGGAGCTCCAGGTCTCTGGCCGCCTGGTAGATCTCCTCCTCCTCGCACTCTCCGGACTGACCCAGCTGGTCGGCTGCTTCCAGGAGCTTCTCTGCATTAGTGTATGTGTTCTGACACACACACACGCACAAACACACGCACACACGAAGTTTAATTTAGTGTTGATTCTGGCGCCCCCTGTGGTCAGAAGCAGTAGTGTTTCTACGTTTGGCGTGTTACCTGTGCGACCTGCTGGAAGTCGTTGTGGCGTTTCTGCAGCGCTCGCGCTCGGTGCAGAGACTTCCCCACGCCGCTGTGCTTGTTCAGGAAAACCTCGCCGTGCTGCTCCACCCAGTCCAACACCTGAGACACAGACAGATGGATGGAGACAGACAGGTGGAGGGAAACAGATGGGTAGAAGGAGACAGACAGGTGGAGGGAGACAGAGTCACTTTTCCTCCATTTTAAGGCTTTCATAAAATCTGGACCTGGACCTGGATTTACTTGATCTGTCATACCTGTCTAACATCCTGTTGAAACACACACAGCTGCAGGCGCTGGTGGAGGCGGAGCTTACGGTGCTGCCACGCCCCCTCCACCTCATGGTGACCCTGGAAGACAGACAAACCCTCACATTAGTCCACCTGTCTGTCTGTCTGTCTGTCTGTCTGTCTGTCAGTGACGTATACTGCTCCTACGACGGATGTGAAACGTACCTGCATGACCTGGTGCAGAACTCCCATGATGCCGTGCGTGGCGGCAGTGAAGTCTGGTTTGGTCGCCGAGTCATCAGAGTCTGTCGCCGGGCAACGCTGGAGGACGTCCAATAAGGCTTTACCACTCTCACTGACCTGCAGACAGACAGGCAGCCAGACAGACAGACAGGTAGTCAGACAGACAGACAGGTAGTCATAGAGACAGACAGACAGACAGACAGACAGACAGGCAGGTGTTTAGACAGACAGACAGACAGACAGACAGCCAATTGTTCTGAGAGACAGGTATGTGGACAGGTCATAAGACAAACAGGTGTTGAGACAAACAGGTGTTGAGACAGACAGGTGTTCAGACAGACAGGTGTTCAGACAGACAGGTACCTGTGTGTAGTTAGCAGAGACCTCCTCGTTCAGTTCCTGGTGTTTCTTTGTCGCAGCTTCTAGCTCGGCCGTCGCCGACGGCAACGACCCTTCAGAGCACGCCTGAACCCACCCCTCCACCCTGAGCAGGAACTGACAGACAGACAGGTAGAGAGACAGACAGCCAATCAGGTTGAAACACAGACAGGTAGACGTGCAGACAGAAAGCAGACAGACAGGTGGACTGGTGCAGTAGATAGACAGTTACAAAGGTTGGTGAGACAGGTAGACAGTAGACAGGTGGAGACAGGTAAAGACATGCAGGTGTATTGATCACTGATCATATACATTCGTGCTGATCACCTGCTCTGCCCCCTGGTGGAAGCCGGTAGCCATTGCGAGCGTGTTGCTGCGCTCCTCCAGCGCCGTCGTCAGGGACTTCCAGTCTTCCTGTAACCGTGACGACACCATGGCAATCCGCTCCGCCCCATAGTGACCGGCCTCTGCCAGCCTCGCTGCCACGGTAACCACGCTGTCCACGTTCACGCTACCGTTCTGCACAGAGACACACACATCATCAAGGAAGTGTTAAACACACACACACACACACACACACACACACACACACTGACCATGCAGTTGGCGGTGAAGTGCTGGTGTTGCGTCTGGAGGTCGATGGCGTGCTGGTGGTTCTGGCCGACCTCCGCCAGACTCTGCACGAACAGGTCTTTACTGTGAGCGATCCACTCCGACATCTGACGCACACACAGAACAAAAGTAATCAGATTACAATCTGTCATCAGTCTGGACCCTTTCTAAGCCCCGCGCAAATGTTCGCAAAAAGCTAGCTAACTAGGTAGAAGTTGACCGAGGCTTGATCTACCTTGGACTACCTGTCTGTCTCCCTCTTTCTGTTTGGAATCGACTCTTCTCGGGTTCCTTTGAACACGTTGCACTAATGAAAACTCACCTTGGTGGCGTCCTGCTCGAACAGGTGTAGCTGCAGCGCCTGGTCCAGGTGCAGCTTCCTGTCGCTCCAGCTCTGCAGCAGGTGACTGCGAGCCGCCTGCAGACGGTCCAGCAGAGACGAAACCTTCGGCACGACACTCTGGAAATCCGCCCCACCCGACAGCCAGCTGCCGTGGCTACTGCCGCCGCCTTCAGTAGAGGCGTCACTGTGGGCGGGGCCCAGCCGCATTCGCTGGAGCAAGCTCCGCCCCTCTCGCTCGAGAGCATCGACTGGTGCCGTGGCGATGGTGTTACGGAGGCGACCGTGTTCCTCGAGAAGCCTGGAGAGGGAAGAAGTGGACAACAACATCTTTATATAAACAATAATTACTAGTTGCTATAGAAAGCGTAATAGATATCAACAGATCTCAGCTCTTATAAGCTCTTCCTCACTTGCGGGCCTCGTCCACGTCCTGGGGCTCTGGTATACGGTTCAGCCCGGCCTCCAGCTGCTCCAGCTGGGCCAGCAGCTGCGTGGCAGCCCCCGAGAACTCCTCCAGACCCAGACGCAGCTCGGTCCACTCCACGTGGTCGTACTCCAACGAGCCACCGAGGTCAGAGGTCAGCTGGGAGGGGTCGACGAGCCGGGACAGACCCTCCACCGACACCAGGCTGGTCTGAGGAGAGAGAGAGAGAGAGAGAGAGAGAGAGAGAGAGAGGACACAATGGTTTACTGATGTTACTGTAAAATACTAAAGAAATACAGATATTTGATCAAAATAAACACAATAATAATATAAAGCAGTTTGAGAAGAGTTAGCAGCAGTAGCAGTACTTCACTGACCAGTAGTGATACATGAGTTAGCAATAGTAGGAAGTTAGCAACTGTACAGCTATTTGAGTTTGTGGCAGTAAAAGAACTTCAGTAGTAGCACTGAAGTTAGCAGTTATAGTATATTAGTTATTAGCAGTACTGGTTCTTCAGTTAGCAGCAGTAGTGGTAGTACACTGGTTAGCAATAACTGTACTTCAGTTATCAGTAGCAGTACTCTATGTATCAGTAGTACTGCAGCAGTACCTCGAAGCTGAGCTTGGCACTGCCCAGGTTGGTCTTGTGTTTCTGCCAGAAGGTGTCTGGTTTGATGAGCAGCGCCGTGTGGATGTTGGAGGAAAACGACTCCTGCAGCGTCCGTAGAACCGGCTTCACGCTGTCCCACTTACTGCCGCGCATGTCCACCACCACCGTGAAGCCACGAGCACGCACGTCCTCACTGACAGACAGACAGGCAGGCAGGGACAGAGGGACACACAGTCTCATTTACAGCTGGCTGCTACTGACGTACTGAGACCTTACTGAGAGAGAGACAGAGGGGCAGAGAGGGAGACAGGCCAAGTGAGAGACGGAGAGGTTTTACCTGGGTATGGTCGACAGGTAAGTGACCAATCGGCTGAGGTCTTCCTGTTTTATTCGATCATGATTGGTCCTGGCAGGGAAGGTCAGGATTGGTCCGCCACGTTTGTCCCGTCCACCTGGAGAACACAGTCAGTTAAACTGGGTCACATTTGAACCGAACTGGGTTAAAACCTGCAGCAGAGTGTGTTTTACCCGACACAAAGGCCACTTTCTCTCTGAGCACCGTCAGGACGTCGACCGCCCGAACACACTCTGCTTTACCAGATCCTGAGAGACAGACGGAGAGAAACACTCAGCACAAATCAAACATGAAATTGTTGTTTTTCAAGAAGAAATTCTAAACTTTTCCCAGTTCCAGCTCCTCGTTTGCAGGATTTACTGCTTTCAGAGTCATCGTAGTAGATCATACGATTAATGGAGAAAATCATGGGCAGATTTATCAATCAGGAAAATAACGATGATCCTTCAGGTCTGATAAATGTGTTTCCTTCCTTATTAAACAGTTGTTGAAATATTTTGAATCTTCTTTATTGCATTTTTGCTGTATTTATTGGCTCGTTGGCGCCTCCAACTGTGAGTCAGTGGAGTAGCATGACAGCAGGAACATGCTCATGTAAAAAACATTTCTCCTTACTGGAGGTCAGAGACAACCAGTGCTGCTGCTAATGTGGCTGAAAACTGAACCACAGAGATTCATCTCCAGACAGCCCCTCAGACCATCACCTCTGTTTCCTTCCTGGTGTCAGTATCACTCAGCACGTCTTGGTAAGGACATCTTTTCACTGCCCGACTTTCACTGCATGGATTCAGATTCAGAGAAAAAGGCCCAGCAAGAAGCATCAAGCTATTTCCACCCATCCACCGAAATGAGCCAATCAGACTTCAGAGAGGAGCTGACAGACATTTCAATTAAAAAGCTGACTCCTGCAGCTCAGGTGTGTGTGTGTGTGTGTGTGTGTGTGTGTGTGTGTGTGTGTTGCAGACAGATACACAGGCCTCCCATGTGCGTCAGATCATCCTGCACAGCGGGAGGAAGCTAATCCAACACACACACACACACTGAGGGCATTAAGCATCTCACATTAGCAGCTCGAGCAGTGATAACCCTCCGAGAGAGAACCTAAAAACAGGCAGGAGCCGGAGGAGCACGCTCACATTTATCCAACCTGAACTGCGTCTTACCAACGTCCTCTTTCTCCTTCCTTACTGTCCTTGAATGCCTTCGTCCCACTGGACTGATCCGTCCCTTCAAAGCCCACCCTGACAGTTCAGACCCAGATTGACTGTCTGTTAAATCTAGACTAATTGTTTGGCCTGAGACCACCGATGGATTATCCGAGCATGCTGGCGTATACCCTATTTTAAAATCTAGCTCCTCAACTGTGTCACAGCGCTGAAAGCACAAATCTACATGTACACAGGGCGGGTCGAAGCCCTCAAACCGGGACAGAAAAACTCTAGAAACCGAGCATGACCTTAAACTACTGCACAAAGTGAAAATTAAATCTATGATGCAAACCATTCCCACAATATCTGTCACAATAATCATAATATGATGTTTTTACAGTACGGCGCAGCCATAGTTCTGATACAGGAAAGTAATGGATGAGGTATTCCATACAATGCTCATTTGAAACAGCCGATTGTATTAATTAATGAGAAATACTAAATGCCCTCCAAATCCTTCGCAGTAAAAGCTCTCAATATAATGTCTCCAGCTCCTTCACAGTAACCTGCAAGCTGCTGTTTCACAATAAAAGCCCTCCCAATCCTCCACAGCCTCTTCACAGTCCAATCTGAGCACCCCTGTGTCCTGGGGTTGGGCGGTGTGACGCCATGAACTCAATTCCTTTTGCACAAAACTCAGCAAAGATGGGAAATACTATCCGACTGTTTATTTAAACCAGTATGGATATTACTTGCATAAAAACTCATTCATTTCATCATTTGATACTTTGTTTAAACTTAAACATTTATATTTGTGTCGGCGATTTCAGTGCCTAAAACTCTTTCAAGCTTTCAGAGGTTTTAATCATCCAGATAATTCTATAAAATCCAGACCAGGCCTCTAATGGAGACAGGCCTTTATTTGGGAGCCTGCTTTTAATTGGTAATCAAATGTAGATTAAGTACAGTTTTGGGCCGTATCGCCCATCCATACTGTGTCCTTGAAGGGACTTTAAATGCTACTAATTTACATAATAACAAAATAATGAAGAACTTATTGAACGTTCACTGACAACATTTGTTTTCCTCCGTTGTCCAGTTGTAGCTGAAGCAGGATTAGTGTTTTTAATGGTTCGGCAGCTCAGGAAAGATCTGAACCACAGGACAGGACCTGTTTATGAACGCTGAACAGAAACTGTCATCTCTCTCCAACCAAAGAGCTTCTGTTGCCTAAACTACTGTACATGCAGGACGGGAACGCCGGCCTCTGCTGTCAAAGTCCTGCACTTCAAACGTCCATCATCTGCCCAGACCTCCTCCCTGCAGCTCCCGTGCAGCACGAGAACCCAACCGCTAAAACAAATTCGGAGTAAATGTAATTTGAAGGAGGCCGAGTTGCTGCTGAGAGGTTTTATTTCAGTGCGTGGACCATTAATAAAAATATGAGAACAGGCTGTTCTCTATCACCGATATCTGAAACAGCAGCGTCGCTCCGGCCTCCCCGTGTGAGAGAGGTTTCCTGTGTGTGTGAGAGAGTGGGCAGACCTGGTGTTCGTATGTAACAGGTCTGAGAGCAGAAGCTAACAGCCTGCACTCGCTAATGAGTTGGTGGTGGGAGTTTGTGGGCTGTAAACACGACACCGTGTCTGAATCCACGCACCGCTCCAGACTGACTGCTGTCTGATTGATCCTCGATCAGCTGCCTGTCGGGCTGACTGATCCTGGACCAGCCGTCACTCAGGGCCGACTCCAGACCAGCGCTGGGAGTTGGAGGAGAGATTTCCATTCTGATAAAGCTGTCTCACACTCTGAGTCAGTGTAACGCCTAAAATAGCTGCTGTGCAGAGCAGATGAAAAGCCTTCAGAGAAACTTGCTGTCAGTCTGTCAGGACACATCACGCTGATTATGCAACGAAAACTAATGAACACGTTTCACCACAATGTCCTCCCAAATGTCAGCCTCTGTTATGCTTCTTCCACCAAATTAGCTCTAGTTCTTGAACTGGTTCCTCAGGCTGCTCTCTAGTGATGCAGCATGCGTTCATCAGTGACCTCTAGAATAGGACACGCCCACTTGGTAACCAACTTTTCAGGTTTCAAACCAATTTATTATTGGTACAAATGCTCCAAACCAGAACTGAGCCGGTTCCATGATGGTGGAAAGACTGGAACTGACCTTGTAGGGGCCGACTCACAATAAAAACCAACCAGCTGCTTCGCAATAAACTCCTCCAGCTGCTTCACAATAAACTCCTCCAGCTGCTTCACAATAAAAGTCCTACAGCTGCTTCACAATAAACTCCTCCAGCTGCTTCGCAATAAACTCCTCCAGCTGCTTCACAATAAAAGTCCTACAGCTGCTTCACAATAAACTCCTCCAGCTGCTTCACAATAAAAGTCCTACAGCTGCTTCGCAATAAAAGTCCTCCAGCTGCTTCACAATAAAAGTCCTCCAGCTGCTTCACTGTAAAAACCAGCTAGCTGCTTCACTGTAAAGGTCCTCTAGTTGCTTCACGATAAAAGCCAACCAGCTGTTCAACAATACAAGCCAAAAGCTGCTTCACAAAAGTAAAACACAACATGCTACTTTACAGCAAAAGCCCTCTCAATCCTTCACAATAAATGTCCTCCAGCTGCTTCATAGTAAAAGTCCTTCAGCTGCTTACTGCACCAGGTGTGTTGTGTGTTTTTGTCTGTGTTAGTGATAACAAACCACTGCTCATCCTCTGGTTCTAGATGTTTGTCAGGTCTTGTAAAACCCCCTCGATGTTCCTTTGGAATGACTGTATCAAGGAAACATGGCTGGCTTCCCTCGAGGTTGCCACATTAAAGTTAAACATTTGGGCGATGCGGCTGAAATACTCCAACAACTGTAGGACGGACTGCTGTGGAATGTGGTTCAGACGTTCCTGCAGTTTCATGTAAAGACTAGAGCTTCCGCCTGTTTCCCCCGAGGCATCGATCTGCAGTTAGGTTCATCAACGGGCCCGTTTCCTTTCTGTTTACTGGGGGGGGGGATGTCTTACAGGCACAGTGGAAACAAAGCTGCTTTATTTCACAATAACAATGATTTATAAAACTCTTTTCAGGATTGTACGTGACGACAGATTGGGAAGAAGAAGCGTCCTGCTTGACTACGGTTGAATAAAAGTATTGTTTATTATTTCCATGGTTTATTCATTGTGGTTACTTTATTAAACTGTAAACTGTAATATACAGTAAATAGAACAATACTGTACTTATAATTTATATTCATAGATTACTGCTAATAATAATCATTTGTACTATTATTATTACTGTACTGTACTTACTACTTAGAATTATATATATATATATATATATATATATATATATATAAATAAAATCTATGAATAATCTGCACTTACTAATATTACTATACTAAAACCAGCTGCTTCACAGTAAAGGTCCAGGTCCAGAACCTTTACAGTCTCGGTACCAGCGGCCCCCCCGCTCTGCCTCTCATCTGTTTGTTACTCTCACCAGTCAGGTAACCAGTAACCAGTACGGTTGCTATGGTTACCTGCAGGTTAATATACCCGTAAATTGTGCCAATGGTTGAACAGATGTTGTGGTTTTAACTGTCACCTGGCAGCCAATCAGAAAGCAGTATTCTTTTATGATCATGGTATTAATACTAATAATACTACTATTACTATTAATAATACTACTAATAATACTAATAATAATAATAATACTAATAATAATAATAATACTAATAATACTAATAATACTACTAATAATACTAATAATAATAATAATAATAATACTAATAATAATAATAATACTACTAATAATACTAATAATAATAATAATAATAATAATAATAATAATAATACTAATAATAATAATACTACTAATAATACTAATAATAATAATACTAATAATAATACTAATAATACTACAAATAATAATACTAATAACACTACAGTACTACCTCTGTTGGAATGAATGGAACATGAAAGCGTTATGTGACCATACACTGTAACACTATTACTACACACCACATTACATCACACACACACACACACACACACACACACACACACACACACATGTTTAATAGCAAAACAGGCCTTCCCACAATCCTCCTTGGTAGGGACCCTCCACCTCCAATGAATACACACACTCTCTCTCTCTCTCTCTCTCTCTCTCTCTCTCTCACACACACACACGCACACACCTCAATGCCATTGGACAGAGGGATGCTGAGACACACACACACACACACACACACACACACTGAGTCAATGGGCGGATGTGGAGGCATCATGGCGACAGCAGCTCCCACTACACACACACACACACACACACACACACACACACACACACACACACACACACACACACACACACAGACGTACACAAACACACACACACACACACACACACACACACACACACACACACACACACACACACACACAGACGTACACAAACACACACACACACACACACACACACACACACCCTACCTGCCGTCGCCAGGCCGTCCGGGCCCGCTTCTCCTCCTCCATCCACCGGATTCATCCTCCCTCCTCCTCGCGCTGCTCCTCCGCCTCCCTCCTCCTCCTCCTCCTCCTCCTCGCGCTCTCTCCTCCGTTATGTACCGTCGGTTGCTCCGCTCCTCGCGCCTCCTCCCTGCCTACCCGTCCATCCCTGCGGGTTTACATCAGATCGGACCGGTCCAGGCTCCCCGGTAGGCGGGTGGTCTCGCCGTTGGACGGACGGATGTGTTCCCCTCCTCCCGGTACCGATCAGTCGGTCAGTGCTGCATCCTCCTCGGTGGAGCCTCGACAGTCCTCCTACTCCTCCGCTGCTGCTGCTGTTCTTACGTTACCGTGATCCCGCGCGGCATCGTATCACATCACGTCACCGTTACTGGTCCCGCTCCCGTTACTGGCCGCAGTTCCCGTTACCGTCCAGTACACAGCAGCCAGCCCCGGTCTCTCGCTGCTGCTGGCGGCCCAGGCAGCGGACGCTCGGTCTCTCGGTGTGTTTCAGCACGCAGGCGCACCGCAGACAGAGAGGGGCGCCGTGCACGAGGGCTGCAGCAGCTGCACCGATTAAAGAAACACACACACACACACACACACACACACACACACACACACACACACACACACCGCCTCTCCCGTTACTATTAACGTTACTGTAACTGTCGGTACCGTTACTATAATCAACGGAGAGGAGCTTTTATTATTCTATTTTTTCATCGAGTTGTATGTTTTATTATAATTTATTATAACATATATATATTTTTTGTTTGTTTTATTTTATTATAATTTATTATATTATTTTATTTTATATAGTATTATATTATATTGTATTACATTATGTTATATTATATTATGTTATATTATATTATATTATGTTATATTATATAGTATTATATTATATTATATTATGTTATATTATATTATATTATGTTATATTATATAGTATTATATTATATTATATTATATTGTGTTATATTATATTATATTATGTTATATTATATAGTATTATACTATATAGGACAATGGATGTAATGTGGGTGAGGTTGAATATAGTAAAGATTAAAGTAGCTGTAATTAAACCCCTTCTTACAAAGCCCACTCTTGACCCAGGGGTTTTAGCCAACTATAGACCGATTTCTAACCTCCCCTTCCTCTCTAAGATTCTGGAGAAAGTATTCGCCAAAGAGTTGTGTGACTTTCTACATAACAATAGTTTATTTGAGGATTTTCAGTCAGGATTTAGAGTTCATCATAGCACAGAGACAGCTCTGGTTAAAGTTAATAATGACCTTCTGATTGCTTCTGACAATGGACTTGTCTCTGTACTTGTATTATTAGATCTTAGTGCTGCATTTGACACCATTGACCATGATATTCTTTTACAGAGACTTGAGCATCAAATTGGCATTAAAGGAACCGCACTAAGCTGGTTTAAGTCATATTTATCAGATCGCTCGCAGTTTGTACATGTTAACGATGAATCTTCAATAAATACTACAGTTAGTCATGGAGTTCCACAAGGTTCTGTACTTGGACCAATACTATTTACTTTATATATGCTCCCTTTAGGCAACATTATTAGGAATCACTCCATTAATTTTCACTGTTATGCAGATGATACGCAGTTATATCTATCAATCAAGCCCGATGAAATTAATCAATTATCTAAATTACAAACATGTCTTAAGGACATAAAATCCTGGATGAGCTGCAATTTTCTGATGTTAAACTCAGAAAAAAACAAAATTCTTGTTCTTGGCCCCAAAAACCTTAGAGACTCACTGTCTAAAGATATAGTTACTCTAGATGGCATTACCTTGGCCTCTAGCACCACTGTCAGGAATCTTGGAGTTATCTTTGATCAGGATTTGTCATTTAACTCCCACATAAAGCAGACCTCTAGGACTGCCTTCTTTCATTTACGTAATATTACAAAAATTAGACACATACTATCACAGACAGATGCAGAAAAACTAATCCAAGCATTTGTTACTTCAAGGCTGGATTACTGCAACTCTTTATTATCAGGTTGCCCCAATAAGTCCATTAAAACGCTCCAATTAATTCAGAACGCTGCAGCACGAGTACTGACAGGAACTA